CTTTATATATAGGATTATAGGAATATAAGGGGCTCACCTAAAATAAAAGAACTATAGTATAAGTTATATAATAATAAGTAGGACTAACTTTTAATAAGTAGTCCTAGGACTAGAATAAGGATTAGGACTAATATGCTAAGGGTGGTCCTTAAGGAGGACTAACTTTTAGATTATAGTCTATATAGGAAGAGAAGTATCTAGGACTTATATATAGAATAGACTTAAGTCTAGCTTAAGGATAGACTTCTATAGCTCTTTAGTAATTAACTTTATAACTACCCTTACTAGTACTTTTAGCTATACCTAAGTAATAACTACTCTATTACTCTTATTAAGGCTTTAACTAATTACTAAGACCTTTAAAGACCTATAATTACTTAAATAGCCCTATAGAACGACTTAATACTATTTATAGTTTTTAATCCCTAACTTACTGCTAACATAAACCCACTATTAGTTAGCTGGCCGTAACACCAGTATCCTAGTGGGGCGTTCTTTGTTGGTTATGCCTAACGGGTCGTAACAGAGAGGTTATTATAAATTATTATAGGATATTAAGGCTTTTTAATACTAAAGAAATAGTTAATAATATTATAATATAACTAAAGGTATATTATAGTTATATTAAAGAGGTAATATTATAAGTAATTATAGCTTATAGTTAGGTTTATATTATTAAGAGAAAAGTAAGAGATAGCTATAATAAGAAGTAATAAGGGGGGGATATTTAAGAGATAAAGATAAATAATAGGGATAAAGATATAAAATAAAAATATAAAATAATTATTTTTATTTAGCTAATATAAAGGCCTCCTTAAGTAGGGATAATCTAATCTATCTCTATAAGGTCCTCTCCTTCTTAAGGTTTTTAGCTATTATTTTAAGTAGGGCTAAATTTTATAGTAGTTTTACAATAGCCTAAAAGCTTATTAAGAAACTTTTCTAAATATTAAATATTAAATATATATTTATTAGGTATAGTGAGATATCTATAACTAGATTATAAGGGTAGCTATATTATATTGCGCGGCGTATTGCATTTATTTGTTGGGAGATTCCTATGTTGCGATGAGAATTGTGAATATGTGGGCATGCGCTAGGCCATTCCCCCGGAATCGGGCCGGCTTATGAACTTCAGTGCAACGAGACAAGTCCATTTCTGCCGTGCAGTGAAACGCAGGGAGCGTCGTCACGTTACCACCAGCGAAGAAAATAATCTGAAAGCGGGGTAAGTCGTTGGATGCCAGCTGCAGGGAGATTATGTTCGTGCGAAGGCCGTCTTCCAGCTTGCATCCTCTTCACGGAACTCTTCGTTTCCTACTTTTATGTTCGTCGTTCTGAAGAAATACCATTATCGAAGACACTTCGACGCCCGGAAACTCTCAAATATCGACTCTCGAGGGGCCGAATGAAGTTGACGACGAAGGCTCTCGATCCGCACCACTAGAAGAAATCCAGATGAGAGATGCGGTCCAGGGCGCCAGTGCGCGATCACTCAGACATGACCAGTACACCGTTGGTTGGATATGTGCACTTCCCATTGAGCTAGCTGCAAGCCGGGCCATGTTAGACGGCGAACACGAAGACCTGTGCAAAATAAGTCACGACCCCAATGAATATGTCTTGGGCAATATCGGCACACACAACATCGTTATGACATGTCTTCCAACGGGGCAGTACGGGACAAACAATGCGGCAATTGCGGCAAGCAATATGCTTCGAAGCTTCCGCTCAGTTCGCATGAGACTGATGGTTGGCATTGGCGGCGGGGTACCCAGCAACACCGTTGACATTCGACTCGGCGATGTGGTGGTTGGAACTCGGATCACCCAGTACGACATGGGCAAAATTGTTTCTCAAGAGCAACTTCAGCGAACTGCTATTCCGAAGACACCACCACATCTTCTGCTGAATGCCGTTTCCAAGCTGCGCGCACTTCACGAGTCGACGCCGAGCAAAGTATCGACGATCCTTAACGACATACTTAGTAGCCAGCCGAATATGACTGAATACTCATACCCAAGTCTTTGCAAAGACTGGCTATTTCAACACACGTACGATCACGACCAACCGGAGGACTGCCGTCATTGCGACTCGTCTAAGTTAATTCTCCGGTCTTCGCGCCAGACAAATGTCCCAAAGATCCACTATGGAGGGATTGCTTCCGGAAACCAAGTCGTCAAATACGCTCGAACCAGAAACATAGTAGCAAAAGAGCTCGACGTGATTTGTTTCGAGATGGAAGCCGCCGGGCTTATGGATCATTTTCCATGTATCCCTATTCGAGGGATTTGTGATTATGCAGACTCGCATAAGAACAAGCGGTGGCAAAAGTATGCTGCTGCTGCTGCGGCAGCCTATGCAAAAGAGCTCCTACTTTCTGTGGCTCCCAATGAAGGAGAAAGGGCTGCAACAGCAGTAGTAACTTCAAACATATCAGCATCAGTGTCTCGTGATGGCAAGTATATCACTTTTAACAGGTGTTCGATGCAACTAATAAATCTTACAGTTCATATCAGTGCCTCAGTGCGTCGGGAGGAGTTGTTGGGCCTATTGCGATTTGAACAAATCAACTCTCGGTATACTTCAATCAAAGTTGCGGACAAAAAGACTTGCGAATGGCTCCTAGACCACGGTGTCTACAAGAGCTGGCTAAAGCCGACTGATCTGCCCCAGCACCACGGTTTCTTGTGGATACGGGGGAAGCCTGGCGCCGGCAAGTCGACCTTAATGAAGTTCGCCCTTGGTCGAGCAAAACGATCAACCTTAGCAGACGCAGCTACAGCTTCATTTTTCTTCCACGCTCGAGGGGAAGAATTAGAAAGGTCCACTGTTGGCATGTACAGGTCTCTGTTGCTTCAATTGCTCGAGAGATTTCCGGACTTGCAGTCAACTCTTGATTCGATCCCGGAGACTTCAGCAGTAGGCCTTGGAATCGATGTTCTAAAAGAAACTTTCCAAATGGCTGTTCTGGCGCTCAAACATCGCAAATTCACTTGCTATATCGACGCCCTTGACGAATGCGACGAAGGCCAGATCCTTGATATGGTTCAGCACTTTGAGGACCTTGGGGATAAAGCAGCAACGGATCAGATCAACCTCAGAATATGTTTCGCCAGTCGCCACTACCCCCATATCGACATCGAACGTGGGTTAAAGTTGACTGTGGAGGACCAGCAAGGCCACGCAGAAGACTTGAAAAAGTACGTGCATGGGCACCTGCTCAACATAGGGTCCAAAACATATACTGAAGACATCCAAAAGAAGCTTTTTGAAAAGGCTGAGGGTGTCTTCATCTGGATCGTGCTGGTTATTGAGATACTCAACAAGGAGATACGAAATGGTCGCGCATTTGCTACTGAGAAGAGATTACAAGAAATCCCAAGCCGGCTAAGCGAACTGTTTAGAGACATACTCTTGCGCAATGGAAGCAACTCGGACGACTTATTGCTTTGCATCCTATGGATACTGTACGCCAAGAGACCGTTAAAACGTCAAGAGTTCTACTTTGCTGTTTTATCGGGGTTACCAGACGACTCACTTGTTCCTTACAACCGGGACCAGTTTACAACGGAAGTCATGGAGCGTTACATCGTCAGCTCTTCAAAAGGCTTGGCCGAAATTACCAAAACTCATGAAGGAGTCGTTCAATTCATCCACGAATCAGTGCGCGAGTTCTTCATCAAGGATCGTGGGCTGCAGGATATTTGGCCAACGCCTGGGAAGGATTTCGAAGCCTTCGGTCACGACATGCTGAAAAAATGCTGCTTTTCACAGATGATGTTAGGCATCACAAGAGCGATACCCAATGTCAGCTGCATGCCGAAGGCACACGGGTCTCAAATGATGGAACTTCGACACACGTTGTCGAAAACGTATCCCTTTCTTCCGTATGCAATCAAGCATGTCTTGCACCATGCCAATGCTGCCGCATCAGGCATCCCACAGACTGATTTCTTACATTCTTTCCCGCTCAAAACGTGGATTCCTGTAAACAACATCCTGGAGAGATATGAAACCGACATGGATCGATACACCATACATGCGAACCTGCCGTATGTTCTGGCTCATGGCAAGTTTGATAAATTACTCGTCAGTCAGATACAAGGCACTGCAGATAATTATATCAGCATCGCTGAGTACATCAACCACAGAAGCCCTCTCGACCTGACAAAAGGTCAATCACCTATCTTCTGGGCCATAGAGAATGGGCATTACAGCATTGCTGTTTACTTGATATCTACGAACCGCTTTGATTTGAATGAGAGGGACTCCGACCTGCGCACACCACTCCACCTGGCGGCCATCAGGGGTGATGTGCAGATCCTCCAAGATTTGCTGAACCGAGGGATAGATATCGAGGCCTGCTGCAGCGGTGGCAAAGTTGCCTTGTCCTACGCTGTTCACTTTGGCTGGAAATCTGCTGTGCAGTTGTTGATTGAACGGGGCGCTTGCGTTGATGTAAGAGACGAAATGCTTCGAACACCTCTGCATCTTGCGGTCAATGGGGGTCATGAGGCAATCGTCCGACTTCTTATCCAGGAAAAGGCGGATATCAATGCCCAAGACAATCGACTAGAAACCCCTTTGCACATCGCGACGGAACGGGGCCATGAAGCAGTTGTTCGAATGCTTATTCACGAAAAGACAGACATGAATCCCCGAAATGATCGTTCATGGACGCCTTTACACATTGCTGCCGATAGGGGTCATGAGGGAATCGTTCGAATGCTTATACAGGAAAAGGCGGACATCGATGCCCCAGCAGATCTTAATGGGTGGACACCTTTACACATTGCTGCTGATAAAGGTCACGAAGCAACTGTCCGGGCGCTGGTTCATGGAAGGGCAAACATCGATGCCCGAAACTTTCAATACACAACACCAATGTCGCTGGCTTCTGCCAGGAAGCACGAGCATGTCGTGAAGTTCTTACGCGAGGCAGGAGCAGTAATGGACCAGTTCTTTTCTGGGTGACTAGCTTAGACTGCACATAATTCCTAGATACACAAGAGCGCTCCTTTCGTTTCTTCAGCCAACTTGGCTCTCCATAACCTGTTCTCATTGAGAATGAAGATTTCCCCGTTACGACCGAAACAGAAGTTGGCTGCGCCGCCTTGGACCAAAATCTTTCCCAACAACACACCCCCTGCCGACCAGATGTTAATACCATCACCACATCCGCTGTACACGTTTCCATGAACGTCACACTTGATACCATCCGGAATCCCCGTGTCAGCCATGGCGAACAGCCGTCTGTTCGTAAGAAATGGCTCTCCTGAGTATGAGACCACGTCAAATGCGTAACTGTCGTAAATTGTCAGCCAGTCATTCTGCTCATCACAACCAGATCAGAACTCACATCGTTGAAGCTCTCGTCAAGTCAGTCGTCCCATCACCATGAATCCAATCTGTATCCGTCACATAAACAGTCTTCTCGTCAGGACTAAAGCAAATCCCGTTTGGCCGTCCAAAGCCATCCGCCATGGCTCTAACAGAGCCCCTGATCGGATCATACTTGTAAACCTGGCTCGGCAACTTCGGCCGCGGCCGAATCCCCTGCTCAAACCCGTAAATCGGATCCGTGAACCAAATAGACCCGTCACTATCCACAACCACGTCATTCACCGAGTTGAACTCTCTTCCGTGGAACGAGCTGACCATGACGCGCGTCTGATACGGCGGGTGCGCCTCCATGAACACGATCCCGCCGGGCGCGTCCAGTGAGCCCTGGGAGCAGAAGAGCACGCCGTCGAGGTAGTTGACGCCGCCGTTGGCCATGTGCACGCCCCGCGGGTGGATCTCCTCGCACTTGAGCGTCGGGTTGTCGTCCGACGGCAGCGTGACGCGGCATATCTGGATCTTCTTGCCGCCCTTGCCGTCGGGGAACTGGTTGCTGGTGATGAAGAGGGTGTTGTTGCTCTCGATGAAGACGCCGGCCTCGTGGGCGAAGGGATATTCCTGGTTCTCGTGCAGGAGCTCCAGCGTGGGCTCCTCGCCGAACAGCTTGCTCACCGAGTCGTCGTACACGGCGAAGGGGGAGTTGTTCGCCATGGTTGCAAGATGAGCTGAGCTGAGGTATGTTGGTGGTATGTTCTCGAGAGTCTGCCAAAGATTGAGAAGAACGCAATGAAATTGCAATGCTGGCTTCGACGTTTGCCTTGATCCCACGATGAATTGGCGGTTGAGGAGCTCGGATAATGTAGCACGTTGTCTAAAGCTCTGCTCCTCGTGGCTCAAGCCCCCGAGACGAGCTACTGCGGGGGCGGATGAACCGCCTGTCGATGTCACAGATGGAGGGTTTGTGGGTCCGAGTCTTAATAAATAGCTCAAATGCAGGGGTATCGCTGCGATGTATGTGAGAATCCCGGACGGTGGGCGCGGGCGTTTGTCCAGTTGGCCGAAACATCTGTAAAGTCTATGCACTGGGTCGATCACGTCTGCGGTTGTGCGATGTGGCATTTGGCGGGTGAAACTATAGATCGTTTGATTCAAAGAAGAAAACTATGCGGACGCTACTGTCTCTGAGTTGCTTCAATCTGGCTTGGAAACTCAATGATTCGTGACCCTTCTGTTCTTGAGTTCCTGTTCAAGTGGCTTATGTCCGGACATGTTCAACATCCCACATCTCGTGCTTCTCATCAACGGGACGGTCCTGATCGATCTCGTCGAAGTGGTCACCAGAGAACAGGCGATCCACATCTTCCAATTCCAGACCTTTGGTTTCTGGGAAGAAGAGGTAAATGATGGGCACCCACGTCGCGTTGAGCACGGCGAAGATGATGTATGTCCTCCATCCGATGTTGGCGATGGCGATCGGGGTGATTTGTACAACCATCTGGTAGTTTCGAGTCAGCGCATGTCACATAGTCGTCGTGAGGACACGATTGACTTACATAGTTGAAGATCCAATTGACTCCACTCGATACAGAAGAGCCCAGTTGGCGGATTCTAAGAGGCAAAATCTCGGATCTGAAAGTGTCAGCTGCCTGTTGACTTCGTAGTGTACTTCTGTGACTTACGGATAGACCCAGACAGTTGCCTGGAAACCAATCGTGAAAGCTCCTTGGAAAACGAACAACATAACAGCCGCGCCGATGCCAGCTGCCTTCGCAATGGCTGTAGCGTTTTGAACCTGGTAGATTAGGGCCGCCTGAACTACCATAACTGCGGCCATGACGCTGATCATAGACAAAAGCTGCAGCGATGTTAGTAAAGATATCATCACACAAGTCTAGCAACGGAGCTGTACCAAAGGTCTTCGTCCAACACGGTCAATCAGGAACCAGGGGATAAACGAGGCCAAGAAGAACCAAGTTTGCAGGAAGCCAGACATCAGACTTGACATGTGGTTATCGAAGCCGATGCTCTTCTCGAACAAAGTGCTGCTGTAGTCTTCAACAAAACCATTAGCAAAGTCGACGAACATAGCTTGAGAACAATTACTCACAGATGATCGCGTTGATGCCTCCGAGCTGCTGGAACCCCTGGATAGCACACGCGATGAGGAATCTCCTCTGACTCTTGATGCGGTCGTTCACGAACAAATCCCTCCAAGACCCGGCGCTCACAGACTGTTCGTACAGAACGGTCTGCAAGATTGAGTTGTGCAGCTTCCTGACTGTCTCTTCGTCCTCGTCGCACTTGAGACGCAGAAGCACAGCGAGACACTCGTCAGGACGATCGTGAGCAGCCAGCCACCGCGGCGTCTCCGGTATCATCTGGAGGATCACAAACATCGGAATGATGCTGATGCATTGCAGAGCCACCGGAATTCTCCAGGCGTAGCTTTCGATGTGCGAGGAGAATGCGTAGTCGATCCAGTAGATTAGGAAGATGCCGAAGTTGAGGGTTGATAACTGGGCGCAGACATCTTTTTGTCGTTAGTATCACCGGGGTTTAGGCAATGCAACTCGGGGGGACTTACAGATTCCGCGACTCGACTTTGGACTGAACTCGGCTTGCAACACGGGAACGGTCGAGTTGACGATTCCCATGCCGATGCCCGAGACGATCCTCCCGATGATCATCTGCGTGCGGCCGTACGAGGAGGCCTGGACGATGGCACCGACGATCATGATGGAGCACCCGGTACCGATGGTCCTACGACGACCGAGTTTCTCGCCGAAGAATGCTGTTGCCACGCAGCCGAGGAAACATCCAACTGTGACCGTCGTTAGTTGTAGACTACAAGACTCAACTGCGAGACACGTACTTTCGTAGATCGCGACGATGAGACCGGTCATCGTCGGATCTGGTTTGTCGAACGTAGCGTTGAAGGCCGGCGCCGTAACTAGCGAAAGCCCAAAGTTATTAACAGTTCCATCAAAGACACAAGAGGTTCAAGATCAGTACCTAGTCCTCCCATGAGTCCATTGTCATACCCAATCAACATAAAGCCCAACGAAGTCAACACACTAACGGCCAAGACCAGCCGCTGTCCTCGAAGTTCGCCCATATCGCCGGTTCCGAAGTGAAGCTGTTCACGATGCAGAGTTGTGGTTGCAAGTCGAGTAGACTCTTGAGGTGCTTCCTGTCAAGTCGCTTACTTCCCCGGATGTCATCCGAACGCCTTGGAAGAATGTTTATAACCCGCAGCAGGCGCCTAAGAAATGGAGTGATGACGAGCAGTCGGTGATGCCAGATGTTCACCCAACACCATGATCGCCGCCGGCAGAACCACTTCCCCGGGAATCCACCCGGAGCGAGGAAAAAAAGCATATCTGCGGGGAGGGTCTGGGGAATTGGGGAGGCGGATTGAAACTGCCTCAAGGCTATTGAACTTTGGGTTACTCAAAACATCAGACGACGATTCAGACGTTGGCGTGATAGCTTCTGCGGGATCTGATAGGGCCGGCTTTCTGGAGTTTGACTCGTCAGGAGGATGCGGCTATTGAGATTGAACACGTCGGTCGGTTTCAAGGAGTAAAGGGCATGAAGGCGGCATCTTGATCTTGATCGCGGTTCGGTCCAAAGCTTGCACCATTGATCTGTTGAGGCCGACACTGCTTTCCTGCTGTCAATAGGCGCTTTTTTGCAGGTTCGAAGATAACCGCATCATCGGTGTCTTTTGAAGGTATCATGATGCGATCGGCAAATGAACCAACGATGCGCGAACAGCGATTCAAGTTCCCAGTTCCCGCAGCTCATCCCCATCAATCCACCCCGATAGCGGCGGCAACTGCAACATTCGGCTATTCGGCTCTCGGTGTTCCTCCCGCGCTGCACTCCCAAACCCCTCATTAGCCGCTCCTGTCATTCAGACCGATCAGTGATACCCTCACATAATAAACAGCCACAGTCAACTCGAGTTACCCCAGCCCGGTACAACAGAGAGGTTCGTCTACTTTTAAGACGAAGCCCGTGCTCCCTTCACTTACACGTAAACGAGAGGCACTCGACAAGGGTTTCTGTTTCTGAAAATGGTTCAATATCAACTACAAAGCACGGATAACCGTACTCAGGGCCGCCTGGCTCTCGTGACGGGGGCAAGGTGAGTAAAACACCAACTAATCACCAACGGACTCTTTCACTAATCAGGTCTCCAATAGTGGTGGCATCGGCTCGTCAGTCGCGCACGCCCTCGCAGCAGAGGGTTGCGACGTTGCCCTGCACTATTCCTCAAGCCAAGTAAACAAACCACCTCTAACACGGGCCCCTCGTCCAAAGTTCAACTCGCAGTTCATCAACAGGTAACTAACAACCAACTCACACAGAGCAAAGCAGAAGCGCTGGCCCAGGACCTTCGCACAAAGTACCCCTCACAGCTTTTCCTCCCTTTCCAAGCGGACCTCTCATCCAGGGAGTCAACTCGCAACCTGGTGCCAAGCATCTTCGCCAACGCGGAGATCTCGCAGAAGCACAAGGCCATCTCGATCCTCGTGGCCAACGCGGGACTTGGTCGTCGCATCCGTGATGTCGCCGACATTGGCGAGGACGACTGGGACGAGATGATGGAGGTCAACTCGCGCAGCCAGTTCGTCGTCACCAAGGCCTGTCTTCCGGGGATGCGCGCGCAGGGCTGGGGAAGAGTCGTGCTTGTTGGGAGTATCGCGAGTCGAGGAGGCGGAATTAATGGTTGTCATTACGCGGCTACCAAGGGCGCGCTATGGTGAGTGGCTTTGGTTTCGTTTGTTGGCGATGAGATCCCAAGTGGGTGACTTATATGTCCGACCTGAGTGCTGACTTGGTATCACAGCTCAATGGGTCTCAACTTGGCAACTCTTCTTGCTCCCGAAGGAGTCACCGTCAATATCGTGAGTCCAGACACCTCGAAACACCAGAACCGCCTGAGCTTCACTCAACTAACCCTTCGCAGGTCTTGCCAGCCATGATCGGGGCAACAGGCATGATCGCCACCCCCAAATCAACGTAAGACTCACCCCATCACAACCAAAGCCCATCTCAGTAACTGATCAAATCCTCCAGGACATGGGACAGCAAAGACGACCTCGAAGCCCTCCGTGCCACAGACCCCGGCCTCGCAATCGCCGCGAGCGTCCCGGTGCATCGTCTCGGAGCCCCTGAGGAAGTATCAAACGTCGTCACAATGTAAGTCTGGCCCCGCGAATTCGTCTCATGTGCATTCATCTAATAGCCGCGCGCCGCAGGTTCGCCAAGACGGGATACCTCACAGGCCAGGAGATCGTGCTCAGCGGCGGTCTCAAGTAGTTAGCCGGTAGCCGAGTTCAATCCACAATTTCCAACCTCATCATGAAAGCATTATGTTTCCCGTGTTATAGTTCTCCAAATCCATTTCCTCTGACGGCCGGCTGCCGACAAGTGTCTATTGCGATCAAGATACTTTCACAAGCCTCGGGAATCCCTGCGAACAGGGTTCAAGCTTCGTCGAAACCAACCCGATCCCCTCGGTTCGATTTGGAGCTCCCCGAGCTAACTCACGATCGGCAATGTTTACGATCTGGCCGAACCTTGGGCGTCAGGTATCGGGCGGCTTTTCCATTCCCCCCCAGAAAGACTAAAGAAAAATCTCTACAAACCTTCATGTTAGCCCAACCCGCGCGTCATGAACCAAGGGACGCCGTTAAGCAAAGAAACATATAATCCCATCAGTCGCCGAGCATTGCCGCTCAATGCGTGAACGACTGAATTGCCGACGTCCCTCCTTTTCGTATCCGCTCCCAGTTTCTTTTCCCATCGCTCCCCCGTCTTCCCGTTTCCCCCTTTCGCCTCCTTCTCCACTTCGTTGTCTACGGTATCCCACGGTAAGACTAGAAGCTGGACTAATCCGCACCGCCGGTCGGTGCCCACGGTAATCTGGTCGAGAAAGGAAACAAGCTTGGGCCCCCCCTTTTCCCCCGGTGAGCGCGTACATTCCCCAGATATGTCAGTCGAACCCGGCCCCCGTCCATCGCCGGCGCTAGTCGGCCCAGCAGCGTCGTCGTCGTCGCAACACCGAGTCTCCCGCACCACGGCAACTGGAAAGGAGAGGCGGGTATCGCGGGCCTGCGTCTCGTGTCGGCTCAGGAAGACAAGATGTGACCTGTACGTCGGATATGCCGTGCCGCACGGCAATTCAACCCACCCCGGAGCCAATGGACTTCACCCCCATTCGACATCATCACACTGACGTTACCCGACAGAGACTACGGCAGCAACCCGGGCATCCCGCCCTGCCGGCGCTGCGTCCGCGAGCAAAAAGAATGCGTCCTCGCAACCTCCCGCCGCGGCGGCCGCCGGCCCCGCAAATGCGTCCGGCTCCCCGACGCCGACGGCTTCCCGCCCGGGACGACCTCCACCTTCGAGTCCATCCCCGCAGCGTCCGACGACGGCCCCACCACCGCAGACGCCCACCACAAGTCCGCGGAACCGTCGACGGGCCGGCCGTGGTCCTGCTCGCCCGAGGCGGAAGACGAAGAAGAAGACGGCGAGAGGGAAAGCCCCGGCCGCGCGGCGAGCTGGCCCGGAAGCGGCGGCGGCGGCGGCGGGTCGAATCCGGGGGATAGCCCTGGCGGGAGGTCCCTGCAGAGCGCGGGTGATATCGAGGGACATATCACGTCGAGCGACCTGCTCAACCCGTCCGACGCCCTGAATCTGCTGGCGCAGGTGGCTGATTTGGACGGCGACGGGGCGGAGAGGAATAGGAAGCCCTCGAGGGTGGCGAGTAGCCACGAAGACGGCGCTTCTCTCGACGGGACGCAGGTGTTTTCCAAGACGATCTCGGCGACGTGGCATTATCCGCCCATCTCAGACGGCGTCCTCTCCGTTTCAACGGCATCACGACTTTTAACCACGTACACAAACCCCCTCTTCCTCCAACCCTGACGTCCCGACTAACACCCCAACAGATACTACGAACATTACCACCCCTTCTTCCCCGTAGCCCACAAATGCATTCTCTCGCCCCCCTCGATCCCCTCCCTGATCGAATCCGAACCGCACCTGCTCACCGCCATCTTCACCGTCGTCTCCAAGGACGAGCCCTCCCTCTCGGCCGTGCACGAGGCCTGCTCGCGGCACATGGAGACGCTCATCTCGAAGCTCATCTACAAGGGCTCCACGACCGTCGGCGCCGTCGAGGCCCTCCTCATCCTCGCGCAGTGGGCGCCCCAGCGGCTGCAGGAGAAACCCACCGTCGGCCGCGGCGAGGAGGACGAGGGCGCCTGGATGCAGATCGGCGTCGCCATCCGCCTCGGGTACCTCCAGAGCCTGGAGCAGACCGGGTTGCTGGTCGACAAGCAGAGTTCTCTGTCGGAGACGTTTCGAAGGAAGAGGCTCGTCTGGGCTGGTGAGTTTTACCTTCATCTCTCTTTCTCTCCCTCTCTATCTGTTCGAATACTGACGTATGCAGCCTGCTACATGAGCGACCGCGAAGTCTCGATCCGCGTGGGCAAGGGCTTCTGGTCCCGCGGCCCGGGCCCCTCCACGATCCCCCGCTCCGCAGACTTCCCCTCCCTCCGCGTCCAGCAGGCCGGGCCCTCCGACAACCTCGGCCAGCTCTTCCAGGCGCAGCTCGAGCTCATCCAGCTCTTCAGCAACGCCCACGACATCCTCTACTCGTCCGCCGGCCACCGCGCGCAGTTGTACCTCGGCGGGGAGTACGTGCGGTACATTGTGAGTCTTTTGATGCTGCCCCAGAGGGAAGAAGTACTCACCAGAAACAGGACGACTCCTTCGCGGTTCTGAGGAAGTGGAAACTCGTCTGGGGGAGTCTAAGCTGTAACTACACCAACCTACCTTTCCCTCCCAGGACATGCTCCGTTGCTGATCTGTGATGTTAGTCACCCCCCTGATCAAAGCAGCCCTGAACCTCTCCTACGAGTTCCTCCGCCTCTACATCAACGCCTTCGCCTTCCAAGCGACAATCAACCGCGCCATAACCCGCGCCCGCCAACAGCAACAACAACTCCAACAACAAGCCTCCGCCTCCGCCTCTTCCACCGCTCAAAACCAACAACAGCAGCACGACATCGCCGGTCCCACAGCACAACAGCCGCCACCCAGAACGACAACAACAGCAACGACGACAACAACCACCACCTCAATCAACTCCCCCCTCTTCGGAGACCTCTTCAGCACCCCGGACGCCCGCTTCATCTACGAGTCCATGGACGCCGCAAACTCCCTCCTCAACATCCTCAACACCTCCGTCGACCCCGTCACGGGGCTGCGGTACATGCCGTTGAAGTATTACCTCTACGTGATCTACGCCGCCGTGTTCCTGTTCAAGGTGAGTGTCACGCACCCCCTTTACCCCCGACTTTCAATGAGAACATGCCTATAAAGAGACCATGTGTGTGTACTGACTATCGACAAAAAGGCCAGACTAGCAGGCGCCCTCGGCCCCGAAGCCTCCGACTCGGTCCGCCGCTCCATCTCCGTCACAATCTCCTGCCTCCAACGCTCCTCCATCTCCCCGCACTCCCTCGGCCAGCGCTACGCCTCCCTCCTCTCCCTCCTCTGGCGCTCCAAATCCTCCTCCTCGACCACCACCCCGCTCGCCGACCCCACCACCAACGCCGCCGTCCCGGACCCGCGCCGCCACTCCTCCTCCGCCTCCACCACCACGCTCCACCAACCCGTCGCAGCCCCACACGGCCCCGTCCCACCCGTCCCGGTCCCGATGATCCCGGACCACCACTCCCACTCCCATCACCATTCTCACTCTCACTCCTCACATCACAACCAACCCTTCCAATCCCACGCCCACACCCTCTCCGACACCTCCTCCTCACACCACCTGCACCACACCCACACGCACCACCACACCGCACCCTCCATGCCCCCTCTAGTGTCCAACATCCTCCCCCACCAATCCGACCTCCTCTGCCGCGGCTTCTCCTGGCGCGACCTCGACGACCTGGGCCAGTTCATCGGCGTCGCCGGCGGCCCCGCCGACATGGGTTTCCCCTCCGACCCCGCCGCCGCGGGGCTGCACGTCGTGGGCAACATCAGCCTCGACGAGGGCGCCGCCTACGACGTCCTCTGGCCCGGCGGGAACGATATCATTCTGTAGGACGGGGTGGGGGTACGGGACACACGAGTAAAATACACATTTGGCGTTTTTGATACAGTGGACAGCGGGAAAAGTTGTATGTAGTTTTCTTGGTGTATTGGATGTAAATCATACACGAATCCATCGACACCCCCGTCCACGCTGAGTCGCCTTGAACGATGGTTGCTCCGAACATCGCCGGTCCGGCCCGGTCTAACCCGGCCAAATCCCCCGGACCTCCCGTCCAACGTCACTGAAGCACACACATCCATCCCAGCAAAACCCCCATCAACAAAGAACCCCCCCTTCCAAATATAAAACCGTTCAGACCATTCAAGACCCGAGCCTAGCTAAGTCTGTCTTGAATCAACCGGACAACCCCGACCCGTAGCCCCCCTTCGAAACACCCAGGACAAAGGGAAAGAAACGTGTACAGGTTAAAACCAATCCGTATGTCCCCTTTTCCAAGACATTCGAGAGATAAAACGGCGTAGAAACAGAGCTAGCCTCTATCTATGTCTTTCCACTCCCCGAACTTGCGCCGTTTTCCCCAATGGAACGCGCGAGGGCCGAGAGCCGCGAACGACCGGGAAACCCGGCAAACCAGTTCACCGGCCTAGCCGCGACGCCACAACGGAAATCTCAGGTCCCTCTGACGCAGGGAACGACACGAACACGAGGAATAAGCTTGAAAAGAAGGCAAGTAAAGATAATATCGTGGGTATTTTTTCCAAATCTTGATTCGACTCTACCGTCGTCAAAAAAACTACTACCGGAACTCTAAGAGCTCCCCTTAATCCCGACGTACGAGGTCATAAAAATGTAATGGTGGGCACTGGCAAAAAGCAACAGCCTTCCCCGGCCCGTAAAAAACTGTACACTAACAACAACTCCCGTCCAAAATATAACAGTAAAACACCTTCGCTGGCCAGGTCTAAGTTTTTCGGTCGTGGAGGGGCTTTATCTAGTTCGACAGAAGGAATAAAAAAAGAGAAGATGAGGAGGACCTTTCTCGGTCCCCAGGAAGCGAATGCTCCAACCCTACGCGGCGAGTAAAATAAGGTCTCGCGTCGAACATGGTAAAAGGAAAGAAGGATTGCAATATGCCCAAAGAAGTGTGGTATGAATGCCGATATGCCCCCCCGCCCTCCAGCCAGTTCCTCCTACTCGTACAGCCCAGCCCGTTTCCATGCCGTGCCCGATTTCCTGTTTCCGTCATCAATCCGGGGCGGTGTGCCTCCGGTTGTCATCATACCTCCGCGCCCTCGACTTCTTCGCGGAAGCGCAGGCCGCCTTCGACCTGGATCGCGCCCTTGACCCATTCGTTCTCCGCGACCTTCTCCATCGTCCATCTACTCCTTGCGCGCTGCAGGAGGCCCTCGGTGATCTCCATGGCGCCCAGGAGGCCGCGCTCCTTGAACTTGGTCTCGTCACCTTCGTGGTCGCCGTCTTCTCCGGCGTATTCGATCCAGCGCCACTCTGCACGTGCGATGCGATGGCTTGTGCGGCTGCGCATGCGGTGGCCGTCCATCGTGTTGGGGTACGGGTCGAACGGCAGGCGGGCTTCCAGGAGTGCGTACAGGAGAACGCCCAGGGACCACGCGTCGGTCGCACGGCCGTCGTAGGGTAGACCCATAATGACCTCCGGCGCGGCGTAGTCCTCCGACCCGCAGCGAGTCTCGAGCTTTTCGTCGTCGGCAATACGGCGGGACAGGCCCAGATCGGTCAGGGTGATGACCGAGTGGGGATACGTCAGCCAGTCCGTCGAGGGGTCCGCAAGCTCGGGTGCAGTCAGGTTGACGAGCACATCTGTGGATTGTCAGCAATGTGTTGGGATTGACCTCAGCCTGGGTCACCCACTCTCGAGCTTGATATCCCTGTGGACGATCCTGCGGTCATGCAGGTATCTTACGGCGCCCACCAACTCGGCAAACATTCTTCTCAGCAGCGTCGGCTTGAGGACTTGGCGGTGACCCGTGGCCACGTCGAAAAGATCGCCTCCCGGGCAGTGGCTGAGAACAAGGATGGCGCGGCTCGGCTCGATGTTCCATGCCTTGAGATGCACCAGCGAGGGATGGCTGATGCTCTGCATGATTTCCAGCTCGCGCTTCAGCGACATCTCGATGCGGTCTTCGCTCGCTCCGCCCCTGGGGCCATGCTCGCAAACCTTGACCGCAACAAGAGTCTTTCTAATGGGCTGTGACATTTCCGAAACGGGGGTGAGGGCGTCGGTGTGTAACGTATCGTCGTCGTCTTCGACGTGGCTCGTAGCCAGCATGACGCGGCTGAAAGTGCCCTGGCCCAGGGTCTTGACGGCCCTCCATCTCCTCCTCTTGTGATCGCGGCGGTCGAAGGCCTCGAAGTACTCGGGTAGGGCTGTTTTCGGTTTGCTGGTAGCGGAGTCGCTCGAATCCTTGGAGGATTCGCTGGGCGGCGGGGTCGGCGGCTGGGCAATCGCGGGGGTCAAGCCTCTCGACTCGGCGAGGTTCAACTCGCGGCGCATGTGCGGTTCGGTGGCGGACTCGGGTGCGTCTGACTTGACGTGGGAGCCGGAGACGGTGATGTGTCGCTTAGGGATATAATTCGGGTCGGGTACATACTCGCTGACGCTTCGGTTCCGTGTGTGCTGTTCCTTGCCGTTAGAAGCGCCCTTCGCGCCGGCATTTTCGGCGCCTTCCGCGACCAGGCCGGCGTAGACCTTTCGTTTTGATGCGTTGGCGAGGGCGGCGGCTATTGATTCACCGGTCGCTGAGACCAGCACCGAGTCTGGGGTGGGGTTGGGCATCTGGTCCCTCGACGACGGACGCAGGCCGAGACGCTTCCAAGGGCCCGGGGAGTCTCCAGATAACAAGGGCGAGGGCAACGGGGTGACGTCGCTCATAGCCGACAGGATCGGACTGGGCATGCACGAACTGGCGGCGCTGTGGATGGCGGCCTTGAAGCTGGGTGTTCTCGAAACGGGCTTCAGGCTCGACGAGGACGTCTTGTGGGTGAGGCCGGCGCTGGGGCGGCGAGGAGTGGTGTAGAGCGATGCGTGGTTTTCGGTGCGTGTCGGTAGGTTTGGCAGCAAGTCGTCGGTCTGGATCCTGAGGGAGTTGTTGGATGCGAGGGGGCTCGGGCCGGGTCGGTTGAGGTTGGATTGAGGCTCAAGCAGCTGGAAGGAGGATTCGGACAAGGGAGGGGAGGGTGCTATCGTGGTTGTGCGGAACTGGATCTGAGGATTTGTGACGACGAAGGGGAAAGAGTAGTCGTTGTTGAAGTCTGCATTGCGGAGGTTTGTGTCTGAGGCGACGGGGTCGGACCTGGAGTTCCCATCAACCTTGTTGTGTTGTTCCGTGTGAATCGGCATGGACTGGGGTGGTGGAGCGTTTGACATGATTATATGCAACGTGTGGACGTGGACGTCGTGGTGGTGGGTACACGAGTACGGACGACGGTCGTGCGTGTCGTAAGAAAGCGTCCGGGTCGGAGTAAGGTAAGGTGCGCAGTAGTTGGAGTTGGAGTCGCCGGTCGCAAGTCGAGTCGTGGGGGAGGGAGGACGCAGACGTGGACGTACGTAGTAGACGTCAGGCGGGAGGAGGGACAAGGCCAGGCGCGAGGTTATCAAAAGGAGGGTGGCGACCGTCTGGGATTCGGTAGGTGGTACAGTATGTAAAGAGACGGAAGGGCGCTTGAGTTGTAGTTCTACAGGGCGGCCAAAGACGGGGCCAGCGTCAGTCTGAACGTTCTTTTCCAGCTACCTTACCCAAGGTCACAGGTGTTGATTGACCTTTGACTTTTGATGTGGATGAAGTGTGGAAACGGTCCGTGGGGGGGACGTGGACGTGGACTGGACTGGACTGAGGGACGAAGACGGGGTGGAATCAACTCACTCTGATCAATGGACCTTGTCGGGATCCGTAGAGGAGAATAACCTTTCTCCTTCTCTGTGACGGATTGACTCGACGGGGAGAGAGCAAGGGAGAGGGAGGGAAAAGAAGGAAGAAAGCCTCGAAGGCGGCGGGCAGGGTAGGGGTAAGGGGGTTAAGGAAAGGAGTGAGAAGGGAGGAGTGAGAGTGAGAGTGAGAGTGAGAATGGTGGTTAGGTCGTAGGTAGGAAGGGAAAGACGCAGGAGAACATGCCCGGGGAGAAGAGGCTCGGTTGGGCTATGCCGGCTGGTGCTGAGCGCGCTGCAGGGACGGCGACGGTGACGGTGACGGGGACGTGACAGTGACAGTGACAGACTGCCTGTAGCAGCGAGTTGCCCGGGCGTCTCTGGCAGTGCTGTGCCGTGTCTGTGCCTGCCCTGTCGAAGAGGGATCAGGGTGCTCTATTTGGAGAAGAACGGCAGACCTGGCGCTGAGCTGACGGACTGTCCAGTGTCCAGTGTTGGTGGAAACAAAAAGGGTGCAGACCCGAATGCAAATGCGAATGCAGGGCGCAGGCGTAGGCGCAAGTAGAAAGACGAGCACACCTCTCTCTTACTGACGGTAAAAACTGGAAAGTGAGAGTGACATGGACAGGGAGAAGTCATCAACAAGAAAAAAAAAAGAATCATCGAAAAAGGGAATATCCATGGCCGTAATGGAACCAAAGAAAATGGAAGGCAGTCCCGTCGAAACGGAGCCCGTCTCGGCTTAGCGTCGCCCGCCGGTGCCGCTGCCACTCGGCGTCCGTGCGGGCAGAAACGGACCAACCAGACCCGACGGTTCCTAACAATTTCTACATTGGCCGGAGGCTGCTTACTGTCGCTGTCACTGTGAGATACAATGCAATGCAGCCGGCATGGAAGTGTGCACCCTTCGTGCCTCTGCAGCTCAATCCTTCCTCTCGCAGCGTCACTGTCTCTTGCGGCACAAAACGGATGCAACAATGGACATCATCTTTGGGGTCAACATCTTGTTGCTGAACGGGACGGATGCCACTGCGGATCCCCAAACCTGGAGCCCACTCGGCCGCGGGAGTCATCCATCGTCATGTGCGATGCCTATTTTATTTCCCTACCGTACCGGCTTTCCTCTTCTGTCCCTCTTCAATCTCAATTCCCCCACCTCTGCAAGATTACAGACGCGCCTGTTATCAAGAGAGCAATAATCACTTGCATACATAGGTAGCTATCTGCTACCTTCCTCAGACAGTGGCAGATCGAGATAGCGCACCTCGACCAAACGGTAAGGAAAATGTGCTTTAAATAGGTACGTACCTTATCTTGCAGCTTTAAAAAAAAAAAAAAAAAAAAAAAAAAAAAAAAAAAAGGAAAGGAAGGGGAGGAAATGCTGCCACTCAGAACAAAAGGAAGGGATCCACAATTACCCGAACGGGCGACGATTCATCCATTGCTCTTCTCAGGGTCGAGATGAAATTCAAGTCCAACAAACAAGAACACCACATGGCAAATTGAAATAGAAAAGACCTTCTTAATTCTCCCTCTGCCCAAATCATACATCCCTCCAGACCTGCCACGACAACACCACGCCATCATCACCCTACGAACCGCCCTAGGATTCGTAACCAGCCCAGACACGGAATGGCTGGTGTCAGCTGGTGACGGGTACCAATCTGGGCTGCGGCGTAGGTAGGTGGTGGTTGCCATTGAATGAATTTGGGGTCCATGGAAACAAATCACATCAAACCCCCGAGTCTAGAACCGTTGTCTGGCCCCCAGATGGGCCGTATATCGCCGTGACACGGCATTCTTCTTCTGCAAGCCTCTTTTTTTACTCTCTCTCCCAATTGACCCCAACCGGCGAGGACGTCGAAGAGGCATGCAGTCATCTACGTACTGCACAAGACGGCCATGGCGATCCCTTTCTTTGCCAAGCTCCCTCGAACCCTTGGACAAAGACTGAGCTCGCATCGAAGCTTTGCAAAAGATTTCTTTCACTCAACGAACAAACGGTTCGCGGTCTGGCCTCGAGCCCAAATTCCGTTTCGGTTCCGACGCCGCATGGCCAGCACATATTGCTTCCCCTACGCGAAATTGGAATCAACAAACTATTGAACTCCCCCACGATCCGGCCACAACCCAGAACATCACAGCACGCAGTCACCTGCCTCCCGTCCGACCTGCCAATGCCAGAGGCTAAAATCTGTAAAGCTCTCATGCTCTGCTCTCATGCTCCGTAGCCCCTCCGGCGCCCCAGCTGATGCGCCCCTCGGATATTACGTTACAGTGCAGCCAGGTGGAAGGCGGCACGCTACAGCCCGCGACGGGCAGCCGCCAGGAGGCAACACACGCAGAGACGAGAGACGCTGCCGGTGGGGAGACCCGGCCATAACCTTGACAAACCACCTGCTCTGCAAGGTATCTAATTGATTTTCTCCTCGGCCAGCCCAGTCTAGCCCAGCGACAACTCGCCCTCATAGACTGTCATAGGGCAGCTTCTTGCAAACCAACGCTCGCCAGGACCCGGAACGGACGAGTTAAGATTGTTTGCGCCTGCTGCTGCTCTCGTTTAAGCCGCTTTGGGCTTCCCGCCCAGGCACTTGTCGAGACTTGTCGACTTGTTCCCACCCTCAAATTGTGTCTTGGGTCCAGCGTCCCGTTGTTTTAATTCTCCATTATTGCCATGTTACACCGGCTGACTGGTTGCACCTGTTCGTCCCTGTCCCGTCGTGTCCGTCCCGCCCTGGTCTCGGTGGGCTTGTTGGCCCGTTGACTTTGGAAACGGCATTCCAGGCCAAAGGATACCGTTGTCGCCTCGGCTCTGGCACTGTACGCGAAGGTATCCGTATCAAAACCCCGACTGGGAGCGAGCCTCTGAAGGATCCGTCTGCTAGACCTCTGCATGCGCAGCAGCAGCATGCGCCTGCACCTACCGGCGTCTGACGTCGCCGAGTGCATGTATTCGACGATTGGACAGGTCGGTCGACGGGTCTTCCAACGGTTTTCACCAAGGAGTGCGCTTTTCTTTTTGCCGGTCAAGATGCCAACGGGTGCCGCTTGGAATTGAGTTCAGCCAGTTGTTCAGGCTCAGAGCCTCTGCTCCGAGGCCGTCGTCCGTAGTGCTGCACCAACATGCACATTGCCGTTAATCTCGTCTTCGAGTTTCCGTAGCTCGAGCCGGGCCCGTCCAAGTGCGCCATCCACTCGACAGCGCCGCTGTACCAGTATGTCGCGTTGGCTGTGATGCTGGACCCTTCTGCTGTTACTGTCCTTAAACCGAAAGCTGAACCCGACTTTGGGCGATTCCGTACAAGTCTAAGGCCACTCTGCGTTGTCCAGCCGTCGACGCCGGCGACTTTGCATCGCGTGGCAGCTACACTCCGCCCCGGCGCGTGTGACGATCCAACGACGACCGTCCAACGTCCCCGAGTCATTCGCAGCGTCCGTCGTCCGTCGTTGCCAGTGCTTCCTTGTTTTTGATACCTCCAACGGCTGAAATGACGGGTGGGAAAGAGTCAGGTCTCTGCAGGACCACGAGACCGATCTCGGTCAACCAAGGCAATCTCCCTTGATGCCGGTGAGAGTGGATGAACTGCACGATCGATCACTGCGCTGATATCATGAGATGATCTTATCTCTGCTACGGCGATCCTTTGCCGGTCGTGTCCCGGTGGAAGTGGGCAATTCGTCCGTTCATGCATTGGCGACGGAGTCACCCGGGAGCTCCGTTTCGTAATCCGCAAAACGGCCACGGCCGACGACACCATCGACTAGTCCGTCCCGTTGTTAGCACAACGTGCGCCCTTACCTGGACAACGCAGGGCGCCAACGTACCCCGGATCACGTACCAGTTGCTTCAGCCAGAGTCGGCGCCGGCGTCCGTCAGAATAGTCATCGTCTGCGTCTCCAAGTGTTCAATCTGAATCGTCTCCGCCCGCCACTCAGACGAAAGATCACCCTTCCCGTGGCCCCCTACCTTCACGTTCGCCAGGGGCCGCGTCGATTGGCTGCACGCGCCCACGATGGCTCAGCAGTGCGACCCATTGGTGCATTCCGTCTAGGTACACTCAAGTCCAGCGCGCCAATGCCGCGAGTGCAGGCTAACGCTTTGGGCAATCTTGGTGTAATGGTTTGTCAGACAGAGCATGGTGATGCGTCAATCTGCGCCCCTTAGCATGACAGTTGCGCACAATGACGTGTGTCGGTGCGAAGGGGTCGTCCTGTTCTGCATCCGCCGACGTCAAGATGGACGTGTTTAAGGCGGAGACCTACCTGCCAGGTGATCCTTCCAGCACGTCGGCTCGACCGTGTACTTCTCCGAGACATCCGTGCCAATCGACCGGTTCTTGGAGTCCGAGGGACACCGAGGCCGGTGGGCGAGTCCAGGGTTCCGTTCCGTTTTGTGGATACGCGGCGCCGAACGTTCGGAACCGAGATGTCGCCATCGCGGGCAGATAGTCGTGTTGTCGTAGGATCGCTCAATCTTGGGGACCTTAGCATGACGGGCTTTGTGAGGTTCAATAAGATATGTGATGGGAGCCGTTGACGTAGTCCGGAGGCAGCAGTCGTGGTGATTGTGAGGATTGGTTCGGGATCCTGCTGCGTGTTAGCTTGTCAACTAAGAGGTGAAGGTTTCCTGCGCATGGCAACTCAGGAGGATCCAGGCACCGGTGTTGTGTAGATGAGCAGGTAGCTACCCTAAATTGAAGTCGACGTACGACTGGAGTTGGTGATGGTGTGTCAGAAAATTCCAGGCAGCCCTTAGGAGGAAATGAGGACATCGCGAGCTACGAAAAAAAAAAAAAAAAAAACTCGTATCAAGCCACACAATAGAATAACTTTCCACATGACGCGATATAAGTGCAATACCCAGCACTCAACACAATGGGCAGCCCTTAGGTATCGTGAAATGTTTGGGTTTTTTTTGGTTTTGTCTAAGGTCTACTTAAGGTAGGTAATATGACGGAGTGGTATCTTCATTGCGCCTGCCATTCCATTGTATGTTCCATCGTTCCTTCCTCGTATTTTCAAAGTGACTCCTGCTCTCGTGCTCGAAGCAGAAGGCACGATCCTCCGCTCCTTCCATGCGGGTAGAAAGGTGACATCGATGGTACCTTCCAGAATCTTCATCAATACTGGCAGCCGCGCCTGCTTGGGCTTCCCCTCATCAGATCTCGAGTTTGAGGCCTGCTATTGTGGAAAACACCAGGGCACCTCAGACTGACGACGACGCCCATACCACCAATACCATCCACGGTCATTCCAACTCCATCTCTCTTCCTCATCGCTCTTCTTCGCATCCACCGGCTCAAGTGTCAACGCCTTGCTCCTTGCCAAGCGATAATAGAATGCCTTCCTCCAACCCAATCTCGATAATGATCTGGGTAGTCTTCATCCTCGGACTGATCGGTGATCGGCACCGCGGCTGTCTTCCACTTTCTCGAGAATTTGAAAAGTCGTCGACATTGGCTTCCGACAGCTGGCCATGCTTCGCCCTGGTCATCGATGACGCAGTCTGCCTTTGGTGGCTCCTTTCCCAATAGATTTTCACCACCAAGTCAGGCGAAGCGAATCAAGTCCGGAGACCACAGCAGTTGTCCACAGCAGTCGACCACAGACCGTCGCTGCCTCCGCAGCACCGAATGCTTGCCGTTCCAATCGAATCACGGTCACCGAACTTCGCCTTCGTGTCCGTAGTAGTACTCGACCTGCGGATCAATGACATGGTTGTCGAGTCTGGGCGAATATTCGGTTGACAAGATGGCGGGCGACTCGGACTGGGAAGTGTTTGTCCAGTGCAACGAGCCATCGACGCAGCCGGGATAGGAAGCCGGCGATGACTTCTCAACCCAGCCAAAGGGAGCCAGCTCTGGCCACTCGGATGCGTCTTCTTCGGTCTCGTCAACTTTCCACAACCACTCTGGCAACGTTTCAAGTTCAATCGAGACATCGCTATCCCCTTCATAGTCATCCGACAAGCCCCTCGAAATGGTGTTGGACTCTTTCGCAAACACGGCAACCCGATTCATACGGTATTCGTGAACCCGGTGTGCCTTTTCCGGTTTTCCCGTCTCGCGGAATACTTTCTCCAAATTGGCTAAAGCCGCGTTGGATACCCTTTCGTCCAGGTCCGATGTCAGGGCTATGCGGGCCGCCATCTTGAAGGATGTGATCGAAGCTGCCATGTTTCCGTTTCCGTGGTACTTCACTCCGAGCGTCAGATGCAGCCCGGCTTTCTGGTCGTCACTCATATCGTATGCGTTCAGATGCGACGTCAGGACATTGATGGCTTCGTCTCGCCGACCCTGATTCTCTTTGCACGTTGCGAGAACCGCTGCGTGCGACAGCGCCATATCCGCAAGCCACGGATGTTGCTGCCCAGACGCCTCGGCGCGCGCCAGGTGACGACTCAGCAATACTTCGCATTCCTCCGGATTTTGTCGACCAAGCATGCAGTCGACATAGTCGCAGTACACCAGATGCGTCAAGTAGTTGGCTGACCCAACCTGCTCCTCGATTTTGGGTACCAACATTGCGTATAGTCGCATCGACAGCTCGTACCAGGACGAGAAGTTGGTTGCCGCCAGCCTTCGCCATATGTGGCCGAGAATGTGGTATGGCCCTAACATGATTGGGATCAGTCCTGCCAGATAGTTGAGCACCACTCGCAGAAGATCCTGCTTATAATGGCGTTCCAGATACCACAGCAGGCAAACCGTCCTCGCCACGAAATCTGGCGTCTCGGAGGCAACAAGACCTCGCAACGCGTCGAAAGCCGGACCGAGTACGCGGTTGATATCGATATGGTCACGCTTCTTCATACATTGGTTGACCAATGCGAAGCTCGCGATAACTCTTTCGAACAGACTGTTGGCGCTGTCTATTCCTTCCACGCGTTTACTAGAGCACCCAACGTCGTACTCATACCACCAATCGCCGGATGCGAAAGACCCATCGATATAATCTCGGAACAGGCACAAGACTTGCTCGGTGCTCTGCAGCTCCGTCGTCGGTGCCAGGGCTCGCGGAGGACTTGAAGGCGGAGAGGGCGTTCGGCAAGTTACTTCAAGGGTGGTCTGAACACTAGGAGTGTGACCAGCTCTGAATTTGGCCATCAACGACGGGTTTCGCTTGAGATACCGGTTGATGTTCTCCATGTCCACGAGTTGACCGCGTATCCTGAATTCCGTCGGTCCCTTGCCTAACTCATCACGGTCGCGTTTGAGAAGCATGATGGCCAGGACCTCGTCCCCCTTCAGCTTCTTGTCGAGACCCCATTTCCAAATTCTTGACTTATACATCTTCACGCTGTGGATCTTCGGTGAGTACGGCTCGACAGCCTAGGAGCACTCTACTTACGTGGCGGTGAAGTGATATTCACGCTCCATGATCTCCATCACTTCCTTCAACGACTTCTTTTCCTCCTGGTACAGGCGCGTTATGATTGGCCGTTTGGTTTCCCAGATTTCCGCGGGAACGCGCTTGCGCGGCTTGGCTGACTGCCCAGGACTCGTCATGTCGTCGGCTTCGGAATCGGTCGAAGCCTTTCTCTTCGCCGGCACGGAAACGTCGGAGGTCTTCATTGTTGCTCTCGATGTCGTCTCAAAGTCGAGTTGGCCACAGTTCGCTGGATAGACGCGCCAAACGCTGGGACAAGATGCTGGGGCTGACTCTATATCAAAACCTGCCGAGTCACAACGTCATGGGTCACTGTCTCAGCGAACGCGGGGAAGCGGTTGAATATGTTTTTGAAAGCAGAGGAAAAGGGACTCGACCGGCAAGAAGACGAACCGCTAAGCCCGGCAAGGCTCCATCTTGTCGCCCCCATTTGAGCATGGCTGGCTTGGTGGTGGGATTAGGCCCAATGCCACCCCTCTCTCAGCGGCAGCAGTCCATCCCCTGCAGCGTGACAACGGTCGCTCTGCAGAGTGACCTTGCCTTCGGTGCCAATCGTCGGCCTTGCGCCAGCGGGACTCGACAACGTACTTACCCGCTGGACCGCTCCCGACTCCCCCGACAAAGGGTTTTATTCGCCCATCACCATCCCTACAGGGGGAATGGGTGTTGGTGGGGACAGGGCTGGGGTTCTCAGGGCAGGGAGAGAGCAGGGTGCAGCAGAGATCAACGACCGTCAGATGGCAGTGCGTGTGGCAGTTCAAAGACTTGCAGCTGGGAGATTTGTAACCACAGCTGAGCTTGTCGTACCACTCTATTGCTGACCAGATGCAGGAGCCCAATTTGAAGGACACTGGTGGAGGCGAACTCACAGGATGCGGGAAAAGGCACTCAACTCCGGGGAAAACGTTGTTCGGCTCTGTCATAGCCCGCACGCCGATCGAACTTTGCGCATCGTACACTCACAAGCTTCGTGGAAACAGTAGCTGGAGAACAACGTTACCGGAACTCGACAACCAATCTCGGCTTCAGGTCTTCTCGTTTCACAATGACGCATAACGAATCTCTCCGCCGCTATGTTGCCGCTTCCTCCAAGTGAAAAGAGAAAGGGCGATCCCCTTCGAGACGCATGCCACGATCGCTGGAGAGTGGGGAGCGGGTGCAATATAAGCGCAGGGCCGGTGCTTCTGGGCTTAGCATGGATCCCGGTCAGCACCCTAACACCAACAACAACTTGCTGGTTGGTTGAGGCGAGTATTCCTACATGATGTCGACCAGGTCGGAAATTGACTAGGCCGTTTTGGACACAGCGGAAAGGGGACCAGCAGAAGACATGCTGTCTGTAGCCAATGACGCCTGGCCTCTCGGCTATTCTCAGGCGCTGATTGGCGGTTAATACGAATGTCCTGTTTAGAGAAAGGCATGACGGAGTCAACAACTGAGCGGCCGCAGAGCCCCAGAATGTTCCCCTTGGATATGGGGCCTCGCTATTGCTCCATCAAACGCGCTTCCTCATACATAGCCTGCGGAAGAGCCGGTGAGTCGGGTCATTTCGCCGGTCGCCCCGTCCTGCCTTCGGCCGTATCCCCGGCGTGGGCAATGCTTCCAGTCTTAAATTGCGGTGCGGAGTACGGATACGGATACCGGTATGGGCTCACTGCTTCCGTTCTCAAGGATTTGGACTGACTGCTTCTCGACGTTCGGCTCCTGGGCGAGCAGGAAAGTGGGCACGTCAGGGTGCGAAGTGGCCGTTTGAGGTCCGAGATTGTTGGACGCAAGTGCAAGGCCTGAAGAGCAAAACAGCAAGGATGATGTTCCCGGCAGACAGGTTGGGGGGATCTGAATCCAAGAAGCGCAATAGCAGCTGCCAACTCAAATCTTCCTGACGGCTCCCACGGTTCCCACGATCCTCACGATCCTCAGACCAACATCTCCGATGCTGCTATCCGCCGACGAGTTGATCCGGAGTCCCGAAGGCGCAGTAAGCAGAAGCTTCGGAAATTCCTCCGGGGCATCAGCAACCCCCAACTCTGTCGGTATAAGCAATACTGTGAGAAAGACCGGCCCCCGTTCCCCCACCGAGTCTGCCTCCCGCGCTGATTAAACTTGCCCAGAGCCAAACAGGACCCCTGGCCATTCGAGGTGGATCTGTCGGCTGGGCATGGACCGCCAGGAAGGGTGACAAGATTCCGTCGCCCTGGTTAATGGGCAGATGGTGCCCGGCACGTAGAGGATGATCTCTCTCAGCACAGGTACGGACACGGAAACGGATGCGGTGCGGATGCCAAACAACGCTGTACATCTGAGCACCACCATACGGCCCGCAACCTAGTTCAGGTCTTGAGAACCAACTGCTGCCTGTTGGTTTGTTACTTCGTTTGAGACCAACTCCGACCAAGTCCAGGCTACAGGATTTCTCTTCTCGTGAGCGCAATCTCTCTCGAGAGAGAAAACAAATGCGATGCGGCTGCCTAAAGCTTGACAGATGAGCTTCACATTGTGGGTTTTCGATCGTCCTCTGCAACTCGAGCGGCCGCCATGCAGGCCGCCTTTATACCTGTCTGCCGATGGGAGATGCGATCCACATGTAATTTGTCGCCGCAACGTTCATTTTGCGACCTTGCGACAAATCATTTGCGCCCCCAACGCGAGCCAACAATCGAGAGAGAACGAAACGCCTACCAAGCTCGAGAAAGCCCGCCCGACGACAAGGACCGCCCGACGACAAAGGTTCTTACCGTCGTCGCCGCCGTCACAATTGAGACAAGTCACCGCAAAAGCCGGTCGACAACAGGATAATGCGCCGCAGACGAGACTGCAACATCGTTTCTGAAAGGCGCCTCGTGTCGAGTGACAGATGGCGAGAATTGTCCATCTGACTTGTTGGTATTCGTCATTACAGGTTGCTACGCCGCTTACGAATGACTCCGATTCCTAATCGGCGCCGATTTGGACCACGGCCGAAGTGGTGGCTGCCGCAGTGCCGCAAGAGCGCAACCATCATCTTCCTCCACACATGCGACCATCTGGTCTCGTTAGCGGGCTCGCGGATTGGGTCAAACCTCAGCCCTATGCTCAAGTAGGGCACGCGGCATGCCATGATGTGGCGTCCATGAGAAAGTTTCTCGGGCTTTGGTTTATTCAAATCCCATATTCGCAATGCTTGATAGCTTTATCGAATCCTTTGGGGATCATTGGGTGACATCGCCCTTGCTGCAACATCAAGAATCGTCTCTCGAATCATTTGCCCTGTGTCAGATTGAGGCCATTCAGACTCGGCAATCAGAGAACGGTAGCACAGCGAATGGTATTGGACGATTCACTTGGCTCCAACCAGTTACCCACACTAGAGCACATCCCAGCAACCATGCTGACTGGTGCTGGGGCCTGTAACTACCACCCAGCACCTGATATGTCACGACGGGACTTTGGTAAAAGTGAGGGCACGTCCGTCATGGCTGCAAACTGGGCGATTTGGACCTGCTCTGCCGCAGCCTAGTGGCTCTGGTATCCCTCCCTTTCACACATCTTCTGCCGCCCGTTTTCTTTCAAAATGATGCTGTTTTCAAAGCACAAACAAGACTAGCTGCAAAAGTTCTTCCTGGGGAGGGCCAAAGACAGCCAAAGACAGGTTCCAAAACGGGTCCATCAGGCAGAGTCCTCATACTACCCGGCAAGCCCCCCATCGCCTGCCTTGGGGGCCAGCAAGGGGTTCACTTGACTACAAGGCCAACCAACTCTCTGCCTAGTTCCCGGCCAGGCTTGGAATGCCATCGAGTTGCTATGACTGTTAGATCCAGACTGTCTACCTCCTCGAGCTGCGCCCGGAAAGGCTGGTTCTGCTGATTTCCAAAGTCCCTGCTACGCCATTGATCTATTCTTGTTCTTGATATCTAGGGATGGGCAGAACTTTCCCCTTTCAACTCCTGAAGATATAAACCTCGAGCGAGGCTGCCTTCAGAATGAGTCAACAGCATCTTCAGAACCACATGAGCTCGTCCTCGTCTCGTCAAGCATCCATCCAATACTCTCAGCAGAATACTAGCGACCTTCTTCGCAAGCTTCAAGAAACCACTGTAAGTCAGCGCCAGTTGCTTCTCATTGGTCTTAGCTAATAAGTTGTCAGATCGCCGCTCTAAGAACATCAAGCAGCGCCATGGACTCGAACACCTCCTACAGCAGCAGTTCCAAGGGCACCTCGCCTGATCAGAAGGGAAAGGGCTACGATTCCACAGTCCTGTTCGACGGTCTTCTCCCTCGGATAGAGACGCGAGGTCAATGCAAAGGCCCATACGACAAGAGCAGCAGCAAGAAGAAGGAGGGCAAGAGTTCACATCGCTAGTAAGTGAAGACTCTTTTAGTTGGAGAGCGGTACTGACGGACTGCAACACAGGTAAAAATCATCTTCGGCTCATTCTTCTCGCAAGACTCGAGAAGACAGACCTGCCTCTCTTCGGGTTGTGCTTGAGCGCTGACTCGAAAGCGGCCGAGAACTCGCAAATATCCAGTCATGCTGCTCTTTCTGGCGCCGAAGTCTGCTGCGCTCGCGCAGAATTCAGGTACTTGGTAACACAACAGGCAGCATGGAAGAATACGGCTGGGTATCCGTAGATGGCCGTGGACCGGACAACTTTCCTCAACCATCACTGGAGCTCTGGATGGAGTGTCGCGTACCACGGCATGTGGATGCCTGGTGGAACGGTCTCAAGTGAGATGAAAGGTTCCAGGGTCGACAACGGATTGGTTCGGGCTTCTACAGCGACCGACGAACGTGTGATCCGACACATTCAAACTTGAAGGCGTTTGTTGGGCCTGGACATGTACAGCAGCTTTGGGATATATTTACGTTGGCGTTATTTAGACAAGCTTGGATCACTCTCTCAAATCTCTTCTATCTATCTTTTCACAGTCACCGTTCGGTCGACTTCGGCATACATAGAGAACATTTCGCTGTCAGCAGCAAGCATTGGCAATTGGAGCGGATATTGCACACATAGCGATCCTCCTATTCTTACAGTGTACCCTTGTAGCAAGAAAGCCGAGGAGCAGCGTTTGCCATTTTGGTCGACAGATGTGGGCTCGGGTCGAGTCTCCATTTCGAATGGAGGGCCCAGGCAATGAACCGACCTATTGACTGGCATCTGGCAGTCTGAACACGCAAAGTCGAGACAGACATGTCGACAGAACGGCGCTTGCGGTGTGGACAGCCGACCTCGGTGTGCGTACCTGAGCAGAGCAGTGTTAGCTCGGTGAGGCACAGCGACAAAATTTTGGGACTTTTGTCAACAGCGGCACATCCTTCAAGGCAGAAGACGGAATGTGCAGGGCCTGTCGGGTAAAAACACCCGCTCAAAAGACGTCGTCGGTTCCAAATCAGCCTTTCATCGCCTCCCCCGAGTACCGGGTACCCTTGTCATTGCATCACAGGTCTCAGCACAGCAATTTAATATGGACGACGTTTGAAGCTGTCTACCGCCATTTACTTACACCAACAACGGCTTTGCGGACGAGAGACTAGGCAGAGAGCGGTCTTCTCTCCCTGCGCAAGGATCAGCATTCTACAGAGGGTCGACGACGATGTTTCCTAAGAAACCCCCCCTGAAGCGATGGAGTCGTACCGCTAGACCCATGAACCCCACGACTTGCTTGGTCTGCTCTGTGCACCTAGCACCCCTCCTCGAAAGCAGGTCCAGGAATGGCATAGCGTTGAGGCGGCCGCCGCGAGTGGAGCCATCTTTCTTGAAGAAAAGGACAGGCGACCTGCTGATGAGGGTCGTAGGTATGTAACGCTTCATGTCCTGGTGCCTGGAGTAAGGGCTGGCCGGGTCGACGTTTCCCAGTTTCAACGACATCGTCAACAAGCAGAGGGCAATTACAAATCGTTTCAGTTCAAGGCGGAGTAGGGCTCTGATGTCAGCTACCCAGATAACTGCGATACTGATCGAGCAAGTGACGCATGAGAAAATTGAGTCCACACTTGGCCGTCAGCGCTGCCAGGAACAACAAGCAGCCAAGACTTGTTTGTTGCGCACTTCACGTGCGGAGGAAGCTCCGATGTCACTCGGCGTGGTTCTGCGGCACAGGAGGCAGCTCTGCAATCTCGAATGCTGACCTCACGACATGGGTAGAGCTCGCATATTGACACGCAACAACGACGACGCGCGCGTTGGCGATGTGATGCGGCCCCTTCCTTGGTGCGCTCGAGCTAGCGCTACATCATTTCTGATCCATCAAATCACTTTTCCCACTCGTGCAAGGACTCCAACACCACACCCCGGTTACCCGGACGCTTAGACTCCCGTCTGATGTCTGCCAGCGCACGGCGGCGGCGGCGGCGGCGCTGGCGGCGGAGGGATTTGATGGGGGAGAGGGGAGGGGTCTGGAGGAAACGCACGAACCGCGGCCGGGGCTCGACCAACCAAGACCTGGACTGCGAACGACCGGGGGTGTTTCGTTCTTCGGATCATTGACGGGTGGTGATTGGAGACGAGTCCGAAGGAGTCCCGCCGTCTACTTGGGGCTCCTTGGGACTAGGTCCGCGGTCTTGGGACGGAGAAACTCACCGGCAGGATCTCGCTTGATCCTCCCTGCTTTGGTGATGGTGTGTGTTATGTACAGGCCCTCGGGACTTTGGGGCCACCACTCACTTGTTAGGAATCTTTACAGCAGCGCGAGGATTCGACTCCTTCTTGGACGAAGACTACGAGCCAGTGAACGGGTTAATCCGTAGGAGTCGTGAGGGATTCGGCTACGGCCGTTATGATGGGTAAGGTACCCCCCCAGCCAGACCCCTGTTTTTCCAACCGGATAGTCTGCTGATATTCGTTTTGGGCACATGTTCCTCAACTCTTCGATATGGATCACTTTCTCCGTCATCGTCGTTTCTCTTCATTTCTCACTAACCACTCACTGATGAGGGGCTGTACAATACAACACCTACGTACGGGTCGTAACTTGTATCCGACCGTCGTCGGACGAAAGAAGCGGATCCGCGAAACTGCGGGTTTATCAATGTCAGCAATGACCAAGGATCGACCTTCTCAAGTCGTCGATGGGTCCCTTTTCTTCATGCAGCTCGGGTTCTTCGCTCGTCCACATTCGGTCGTCCGTGTTCGGTCGTGCGTATCTGGAACCTCCAGCTTTCCAGGGATGCAAAATGAGCTGCGACGACGAAAACCCGGGTCCCAGGAGAGAGACACGCCGGCATTTTCCCCCCGTCCCCGTGTCATCCCAGCCTTGCATCCCACCCGGGGGGAGCCCTTCGCTGGCCTCGGCCGAGGACGGGTGTCGCCCGCTGGTCCTCCCCTCCCCCTCCCCGCACGAGAATGGAACGTAGCGTGACCCAGCTCCGAACCCCAGCGGTAGCGAGTAAGCTCTTGCGGAGACTTCTAGAGAACCCAGAGATGCGGCAGGCACGTTCCTTCAACGGGCCCGTCCTGTCAGAAATTGAGGAGGGGAGAGGGGAGAGGGGGGGTGCGTCGTTCGAGGCTCGTCACCGTGGGGAGGAGACGTTCGTTTACCCACCCACTTAGGCTTCCGAATTACATACCTCTGGCAACGCCCGTCAGAACGATGTGAATCCTCCGCAGAAGGGGAAGGTGATGGCCGCGTGAAGGATCGAAGCGAGTGGCTTGGACCATGAGGCTATTCAGACGTTCGATGACAATGACGTGCCGGGGGTTCTGGATGCTGACCAGTCACCTTCACGTACCTCCCACTCGTCCCCCTTCCTGTCAGACAACTAACCCAGATGGCAACGGCTAATTCCGGGTGATGAGGAGGAAGCACTTTTGCTCTTCTGGCCTTTCTCTCTCTCTCTCTCTCTGCTGATTCCATCTCTTAGGAGGTAGACGTAGGCGCGTAAAGCTTGGGATCGTTGGCCTCCCTCCCCCGTCCATTCATAGGGCTAGGCAGCAGGCCACGATGGCGCATGCGCGCAGACATGCCTCCCGGCGGCGCAGGCATCGACAGCCCTATGCGGGCACAAGATTCTCGTCTGGAATCACCCGTTCATCCCATCCCATCCCACACACCCCCCCTTTTCGTGAGTGGTCGGCATCTTACCCGCCGTCTCTCCTCCCGAGGAAGCCGCAGTGGAGGAAGGGAAAAGGGGGTCTCGACTTGGTCAAATCGCGTGGGAGGCTTCTCAGGCGGTCCGATTCGGACCGTACTTTGTTATATCCAGAATCCACCTACCTCCCTTAACTCCGGCGGGTTCAGCTTCGAAAGGCGTGCTGGTTTCTGAGAGGTGGTGGAACGAGCTTCGGCGGGGGGTGTTGGATGGATCATTGGGCGGTGGGGGGTTGTAATCGCTCGTGTGGTTTGTTTGCGTGTTATGTTTGCGTGTTATGTTTGCTCGGTTCGGCTCGTCGAGGGCGTAGGGCTGTTGGGCTGGCTGTAGGTGTGTGTGGCTGCTGACTCCGGGGGAAAAAGGGGTGAGGGATGGGACTTTTGTCGGGTTGAGGTTCTTGGGGGATGATGTGGTTGGGTGGAGGATGCCGTGGGACTTTCGAGGGAGGGCGGGTTGGTGGTTTGGTGTGCGTTTGCGCGGGCTTGGGTTTGCGGTTTGGAGGTCGTCTCTATCGAGTTCTCTCTGATGGGCTGGACTTGTGAAGTTGGTTGGGGATGCATGACTTTGGGCAACTTCTCTCAAGGCGGGTTGGAGTGGTGAGTGAGTTGACGCGGGCTCGAGTTGGTCGGCTCTGCTTGGACTTTCGTCTTTCTCTCAGCATATCGTCGACTGGGTTTCATTGACTCCATTTCATGGGCGTCTGCACTTCGACGGTCTCATGCGGTTTCTTCTTGCAACGGAACGTATCATTGGAAACCAATGTGACGCTCATTAGCCCTCTGTCGCTGCCCATTTAAGTAGTTGAGACGTGTGTCGGTCGGTATTCATGGATGTTTTAAAAGGAGCCAAACTCTCCTAACTTGGAGGATCTAAACAAACAATCGCATTGACGGGCTGGCTTAGTCTAGGAAGATGTGTGTTGGGATCCTCATGGCGAGGACGTCATTATGGCTGACTTGAATGTCTGCTGTCATTGGGAGAGCATTAGCCGCACGATCTATCTCAAACTCCGTTCTCGTTAGTTTTGTCTCTCGGGGTTTCTGGTGGGATAAACGGAGGAACTTGGTTATAGTTTCTTCGCTGGGGACGTCGGAGAGTATGCTTCTGCGGTATGCTCTCGTACTGGGAATAACGGAGTGGAAAGACTACCTCAAAAGATGTTGAAGAGAGGACACTTTTCGGGACAAGAGAACGACGTTGTCATTGTCGTCGTTGTCAGGGGGGTCACGTGGTCGGCCGTGTTTATATACCGTTTCGGGTTGAGTCTTGAAACATCCGTCATGTCGGTCTTCCGGTACGCTTTTGAACAAGAGATGAAGCAGTCCTGTGTCGAAGTCAGATACGAGAGCGACAGTGGTTGACGTGGCGCTAGAGGGGCATTACGTTAGTTTCGCGATACCTAGATTGAACTCGGATGACGCAACCTGGGGCTTTCACATTGTCATTCTTTGCAAAGAGCTAGCGTTGCTAGACTCGCTTCCAACTGTTGAAGTCTATTTAGTAGTTCACCTCATACAGATGGATAGACAACGAACAACAACCCTCATGTCTTCCGAGTTGGGAACGTCCTCATTCCCAAGAATATCGATGCCGGGACTCATGGGAGGATATGAGAACGTCATTCGGTTGCCGCGCTGCTGTTTGAACTTTGGTTCTAACTTATTCTGCCAGAATCAACAGTCGACGACGATAGCCATGGATGATAAACATGTTCGTTCCAAATAGGTGATGCAAAATTGTTGACATCCTCGAAAGCCCGATGATACAAGCGACTCTTCCACCCACGAAATAGCTGTAAAAGAGCGTAGCCTCGACCGGATCCACATCACAGAAGGGCATCCCTAAGTTGCGTTATCCCCAAAGTCTATAGCTACCGATGGGCTTGAAGTAAGATAAAAGCAAGGGTCGTCGACACGGCATGGATACGGAGTACTACACGTAACGCAAAACGTTGCTGTAGTTCGTACTAGCTGGAGATCGTATTCATCTCAAGCTTTGTAGGCTAGTAAAGACATAAAAAGCGCCATTGCCAACATCACCGTCCGGTGTTTCAGGCAATGATTCATGTCTTCGTTTTCCAGACATCCTAATCGACAAGGTCTTTCACAGTGGTCTAGATCTCTTGGTTGTTTAACCGCACATCATCCATCCATCGTCACAGACCGGCCTGCCCTAACAGCGACCCTTTGAAGCTCATCATCGTTGAAGTATTCTGAAAGGTCGAACAGCCAACGACGAAGATCACGGAAGAAGAAACAGTTTAGGGTCCGACGGGTGTCATAAGGTATTTCAACGCCCCAACAGTATTCCTTTTCTCGGGCTGCTGTTAAGCCGTTGCAGTAATCCGCCTACAGGCTGATCAAAGCCTCCAACGCCAAGGCCGTGGCTTCCTAGTCTGCAGAAACACGATGAATTCACTCTTTAAATGAATGAGTGAATGGTATGGGGTTGCGTTATCCCCGGCATGGATGCTGTTGATAACCGCGGACACGGACGTGATCAGAGCAATCGAGACAACTTGGATTGGATCCATTAAGAGAAATGTCGCCGACGTTATCTATTTAACCTTAGAAGAGTGTACAACTGATTTTCTATGCCGTCAAGAGAGACTTTGGCAATTCCTAACTTACAAATGAAGTAGCAAGGCCTCCATGTTCCGGCACTTTGTTGAGTCGGCGTTGAGAAGGGTATTGATCGATTTGGTCACGATACTTCTCTATGATCACCGGTCTCTTGAGTATTCCAATTGAACAAACGGGCGAAAACGGCAACGAGAGAAAGAAACATCCAGGAGCCCAGGAGCAACTCGGAGCTGTACGGCGCAACTAGGAGCGTCGAAGGCGGAGGATCACAGTCACTTGGGAGCGGATTCCCAACCAAAGCGGCCTCACAGTTCCCACCGTCGACGTCTGCCAGACAGAGGATGCGAAGCATGTCCAAAACATTCCTTTTATAACTACCGCGTCGGTGTACAATGGGCAGGCATCGCCTCCCATACCAGTATCAACATTAGAACAGAGTGGCCTACGCACCTGTGCCAAGGAAACATCGACACGTTGTATGCGGTGCACGGGGAGAATGACACTGTCTACTTCCGTAGTTTCTCTTGAAAGGAGATTCAACTTCTAGGGAAAATCAACTCAACAGCAGGCCTGTTTCATGGTGACTCCCACCCATCAATAGAAGCAAGCATTCAAGTCAAGTTGTGTTGGCGTTCCTCCGATATTGGTTGCAGCCAACATCTTCACAGGTCATTCGGACTTCAGTGCACCAACCGAATCATTCACACACAACATCACATCTCCGAGACTTGGCAGCGTATAAGAAATATGCAGGGCCAAACCAACGGAAGAAATACGACGATACTCCCCCAAAGACCCCGCAACGCGGATCTACAACCCGCATCCCCTCGCCCAGATTTACCCCGACATCCCCCTCAATCTGGAGAACACGCGGGGAAATTCGATCCAGCCCCCTCCCAATCTAACTTACGTCTCAATCCGTCCTGCCAAGACACGTCACGATCGCCGTTGATATAGAACCTCACATCCGCGCCGCCGCACGCAATCCGACAATGGATAGCGTCCTAGCAGCCCGTCACAATGAAGCGCCTCCTCTGGCTCGCGCTGCTATTCTCTTCGGCCGCCGCCGTCGATGACCCGGCCCGGCCATGGGAAGCCTACATCAAGAGCCCGTCATCCCGCGACGTCCCCCCGCAACGAGTTCACGCCGTCTCGGGTGACGCCCAGGTCACGAACGCCCCGGATGGGACTTACGTCCTCTCCCTCCAGCCCGGCGGCCAAGTCTCCCTCGACTTCGGCTACGTCGGCGGCCTCCTCTCCATGAACACGCAGACGAACAACACCGACGAAGAAGATGGACCGCACTTCTCCCTCGCCTTCGCCGAGTCCCCCTCCTTCGTCCGCGCCATCTCGGACGACACCGGCGCAGTCTACACCCAGGACTACGACAAAGCCCTCAACGTCACCCTCACCGCCCCCGGGAACTCCTCCTACACGATGCCCACGGAGCGCTTCCGCGGCGGCTTCAAGTTCCTCACGATCCACGCCTTCGCCCCGGTCCGGATCTCGAGCATCGTCTGCCACCTCGGCTACTCCCCCTCGCAGCCCGACCCGAGCGTCTACTCCGGCCACTTCCACACCCCGGACGACGACCTCCTCGTCCGCGCCTGGTACGCCGGCGTCTTCACCGCCCAGACCAACATCGCGCCACCCGATACCTCCCGCTGGCTGCCCCAGGTCAAGGACGGCTGGGCCTACAACGCGACCCTCGGCGTCGAGGGCCCCATGCTCCTCGACGGCGCCAAGCGCGACCGCGCCGTCTGGCCCGGCGACCTCGGCATCGCCGGCACCACCGCCTACCTCGGCCTCGGCGACGTCGGCCTCGAGTCCGTACACTACGCCCTCGAGACCATGTTCCTCTACCAGAACGCCTCCACCGGCGCGCTCCCCTTCGCGGGCCCCACCACGGGCTCCTGGCGCCGCGGCGCCCGCAGCGACACCTACCACGCCTGGACCCTGATCGCGTGCTTCAACTACGCCGTCTTCACCACCGACGCGGCCTGGCTCGACGCGCGCTGGGACAAGATCGCCGCGGGTGTGGGCTACATCCTCCGCGCCCTCGCGGCCAACGACGTCGGGCTCGCGGAGCAGGTCGAGACGAATGACTGGGCGCGCCTCGGCGGCGGGGGCTTCAACAGCGCCCTCAACGCGCTGAACTATCACGCCCTCGCCTCGCTCTCGTCGCTAGCCGCAGACACGGCCCGCGCGTCCGATGCAGAGACATGGTCCGCGGCGGCTGCCAAGCTGAAGACGGCGTACAACGCCGTACTCTGGGACCCGGCGGCCTCGCTCTACCGCGACAACGAGTCCGCCGCGGGCGCGCTCCTGCACCCGCAGGACGGCAACGCGCTCGCGCTGTACTACAACCTGACGCAGTCGCCCGAGCAGGCCTCGTCCGTCTCGGCCGCTCTGCTGGGGAACTGGAACGAGATCGGGCCCGTGACGCCGGAACTGCCGGATACCATCTCGCCCTTCATCTCGAGCGTCGAGGTACTCGCGCACTACGCGGCGTCCAAACCGCGGCGCGCGCTGCGTCTGATGCGGCGGACGTGGGGCCACATGCTCGACTCGCCGGAGATGACGGGCGCGACGCTGGTCGAGGGCATGTCAGCCAACGGATCTCTGTACTACCGGTCGCGGCGGGGGTACAACTTCGACGCGGCGTACACGTCGCTGTCGCACAGCTGGTCGACGGGGCCGACGCAGGCGCTGAGCTTCAAGGCGGTCGGGCTGGAGGTGGTCGGGTGGAAGAAGTGGGTTTTCAGGCCTGCGCTGGGGGATTTGAAGAGCGCGCGGGCCGGGTGGGCGGGCGGCGGCGGGGAGTTCGGCGCTGTAGTTGAGGTTGACGGGGATGTGATTGAGGCTGAGATTTGGACCCCTGGCGGCACGAAGGGGAGGGTTGAGATTGCTTGCGAGGTCTTGCTTATTGATGGGGAAGTGGTGGATGGCGGTCAAGTTGAAGGTGGGAAAATGAAGATCAGAGGGGAAAAGTGTAGTTTTGGTTGTTAGTGTTACCGTCGTCATCTGGTGTCACAAAGCTGCAGTAAGCCATGGCAGCCAACAGCGCGGAAGGCATCCTGAACAACCAACTCAATGTCAAACGATGAATGTTAGAGGCAAAAAGCGAGAAGGACGCTTGAGGTATCCAAGTTATCAATCAAAACAGGCAAAAGCAAAAGAATATGCCCCCTCACGGGATTGAACCGTGGACCTTCGCATATTGACGTACGTACGAGTGCGACGCTCTACCACTGAGCCAAAAGGGCATGTCAGAGCGAGGCACAATTGAGTTTATGACCCCTGGGAGGGCTGAGCTCAGCGTCCTCGAGAGCGGGGGCAGCTTGTTGGTGGAGGCGGGATCGTGGGGTTCTCACCGCCGGCGGACCTTGAGGCAGTCAGCCAGTGGCGAGACTATTCAGATCAAGAGATTCGCGTCAAAGCAGACCGGAATGATCATAGCAAGCCTTTAGGACTTGCGAAAATTCTTCCATGGACAGTGACACTGACATCGACGGGTTGGAACCAGCGAGGGGAGGGAAGATGTTGTCAGGTTTGCGTTATGCAAGTTCGCCAATGTCGGCTCAGTGAAAGATTCAACAAACAATCATATGGTCACAGTCATGTAAGAATCATGCTTGTCTTAACCGTTCCAATTCTTGCGTCTACCTCATCTGCTCATGCTCATGACGGGCTAACTAGAATACACCCATGCATCTAGGCTGGGGGAATTATGGTAAACATTCCAAAAGTCATTAAAAACCGAAAACCGTCCAACTCCGAATGAACTTTTCTCTGGTATCCGTTATCCCGAAATCCCTTAGTCAACCTCCTCCATGGCGCTGTCACCGGTCTCGACGGCGGGCGCGTCGGCGGCGGGAGCACCCTCGGTCTTCTCCTCCTGCTCATCGATGTTGAGGCCGAGCTGGACGAGCTTGTGAATGCGCTCGGCAAAGCTGGCGGGCTCGTCAATGGTGAAGCCAGAGACAAGCAGAGAGGTCTCGAACAGAAGCTGAACGATGGACTTGACGGTGCGGTCGTTCTCGCCGTCGTTCTCGACCTTGTTCTTGAGCTCCTGGATGATGGGGCTCTTGGGGGAGATCTCGAAGGTCTTCTTGGAAGACATGTACGAGGACATGGAGGTGTCACGGAGGGCCTGGGCCTTCATGATACGCTCCATGTTGGCGGACCAACCGAACTGGCCGGTACGGATGGCGCAAGGAGCACCGACGAGCTTGTGGGAGACGACGACCTTCTCGACCTTGTCGCCGAGGACGTTCTTGAGGGACTTGGCAAGACCCTCGTACTCCTTCTCCTCCTTCTCGCGCTGCTCCTTCTCCTCCTCGGTCTCCTCGAGCTCGAAGTCCTTGGTGATATCGACGAGCTTCTTGCCCTCGAACTCCTTGAGCTGAGTCATGGCGTACTCGTCAATGGGGTCAACGAGGAAGAGAACCTCGAAGTTCTTCTCCTTGAGGGAGTCAAGGAAGGGGGACTTGGTGACGGCCTTGATGGACTCGCCGGTGATGTAGTAGATGTTCTTCTGGACCTCGGGCATGCGAGTAACGTAGTCAGAGAGGGAGGTGAGCTCATCGCCAGACTTGGTGGTCTGGTAGCGGAGGAGCTTGGCAAGGATGTTGCGGTTCTGGGAGTCCTCGTGGATACCGAGCTTGAGGTTCTTGGAGAAGGCAGAGTAGAACTTGTCGAACTGCTCCTTGTCCTCGGCGATCTCCTGGAAGAGCTCAAGAGACTTCTTGACGATGTTCTTCTTGATGACCTTCATGATCTTGTTCTGCTGGAGAGTCTCACGGGACAGGTTGAGAGGAAGGTCCTCAGAGTCGACAACACCCTTGACGAAGCCGAGCCACTCGGGGACGAGGTCGGTGGCATCGTCGGTGATGAAGACGCGGCGGACGTAGAGCTTGATGTTGTTCTTGGTCTTCTTGGTCTCGAACAGGTCGAAGGGAGCGCGCTTGGGGACGAAGAGGATGGCGCGGAACTCGAGCTGACCCTCGACGGAGAAGTGCTTGACGGCAAGGTGGTCCTCCCAGTCGTTGGAGAGGGACTTGTAGAAGGAAGCGTACTCCTCCTGCTGGATGTCCTGGGGGTTGCGGGTCCAGATGGGCTTCTGCTTGTTGAGCTCCTCCTCCTCGATGGAGGTCTCCTTGACCTTCTTGGTCTTGGGCTTCTTCTCCTCCTCCTCGTCGTCGACCTCCTCGATCTTGGGCTTCTTGTCGTCGCCCTCCTCGGTGGTCTCCTCGGCCTCCTCATCGGGGACCTCCTTCTCGGTCTCCTTGGTGACGTGGAGGTAGATGGGGTAGGAGATGAACTCGGAGTGCTTCTTGATGACCTCCTTGACCTTGGCCTCGTTGAGGTAGTCGGTCTGCTCGTCCTTCAGGTGAAGGATGATCTTGGTACCGCGGCCAAGGGGCTCACCCTCGGTGTCGGGAATGATGGAGAAGGTGCCGCCGGCGGACGACTCCCAGATGTACTGCTCGTCGTCGTTGTGCTTGGAGACGACGGTGACCTTGTCGGCGACGAGGTAGGCAGAGTAGAAACCAACACCGAACTGACCGATCATGGAGATGTCGGCACCGGCGGTGAGGGCCTCCATGAACTGCTTGGTGCCGGAGCGGGCAATGGTACCGAGGTTGTTGACGAGGTCCTGGGTGCTGTTAGTACGGAGCAGTAGACAGGGGGTTGTCGAGTCAATCACTTACAGCCTTGGTGAAACCAATACCGGTATCGCGGATGGTGAGGGTCTTGTTCTCCTTGTCGGGGATGATGTCGATCCTCAGGTCCTTGCCCGAGTCGAGCTTGCTGGGGTCGGAGAGGGACTCATAGCGGATCTTGTCCAAAGCATCGGAGGCGTTGGAAACAAGTTCACGCAGGAAGATCTCCTTGTTTGAGTAGACGGTGTTGATGATGAGAGACAGGAGCTGAGAGATCTCAGCCTGGAACTCGAAAGTCTCCGGGGCAGACATTGTGATGGTGTGTGTATGGGTATCTAAGGCGTAACGGTCGTGATTCTGGGAGGATTGTTAGCTGGTGTTGCAAACGAAGGGTGGTGGCGGTGGGCGATTGATGGAAAATGGCGGGGTAGAGGGGTGATGGCGAATTTGTAACCCTTCCAAGAGACGAGCAACGACAAGCACTACCGCCTCTGGAAAATCAAAAACACCAAGATGATGGGAGTAGATGCAATCGAGAATGTCGTCGACAAGGCTGACGACGCATTGCGACACCAGGCTCAAGCGCAAGTAGGGAAGTGAGGGGTGGCGTTTGCGGATGGCGGGATGCAAAGCAAACAGGGCAGCAACACATACCTTGAGAGTAGATTCTCTACGACGTAGCAGATGTTTCGCTGCACTGATCGAGATAGAGATTGAAGTCTTTTAACAGACAATGAAGAAAATGGAGATTTGGAGGGAGAGAGGAAAGTGTGAAGTGAGGAAAAGGTTGAAGAGATGGAAGTCTTGGGGAAGAGTCGGAGGCTAAAAAGCAACGGCCGTCACAGTCTGGCCAAAGCAGAAACCCAGCTCAGAAATTCTATACGATTCCATCAGCTACAGGCCTTCCTCCTTCCAGACCCTTCTCTGATTCGCTTGCCCTGCCACCACGGCAACAGTGCGGGGGTAATGATTGGCCGGGACGCTGGAGGTGGACCGGGTCTCGATTGTGGGACGGGGTCCTTCCCGATGGAAAAAAAGAGAATGGGAAGGCGCCTTCTGCCTTTGCCTTTGCCTCTAGTGTATGGATATGCGATTGCCATTGTCGTTTGTTGCCTGCCGTCTGTCTGCCTGCATGATTCCAGTGTCCGCCTGCAATTTCTGCCATTCCCGTTGCTGTCCATCTACCTATCAGACAAGAGTCATTGGCGGTGCTGCTTCTAGCACTTGCTCCTGCCTTGCCTGAAGAGCAGTCGGCACCTTCCATCGCCGTCGTTGCCCCTCGACCTGTGGCTCCTTCCCCTCTGTGGGGTTGGATGTCAGCGCCTGCCCTCTTTTTTTCCATTTGCGGTCTTGCTCATCGCCACTACCCCTCCCTTGATTTTTTCTTTGCGAATGGCCTCATATGTTCCCGAGACTTCCATAGGTATTCTACTCGACTCTTCGATTGCATTTGCGGCTAAGGTAGTCTCTCTCCTAAGAAGGCGACGGTGTGCGGGCTGCATGCATCGCCTCCAAGTCCGACTCTGGTGCCTAAGAAGTAGCTCGGCGCCTACATGCAGACGGCGCCGTCAGCCCCATGGTCCCTGGAAGTCCCTGAGTCCCACCCACACGTGAGGCTGAAAGTGAGGCGTCCTGCTCTCTCCGGCTTCCCCATGTTTGGGGCTACGTGAATCACTTGCGTCGGCCCTGCCAACACATCAATCAATCAACCCATGGCCATGGAAACGCTGCGACAGTGGCACGGTCGACTTTGACAGCATGGTCTGGGTGTTTCTAGACCCCAGTGCGACATGTCAAACAACTATCTAATGTCTTGGCCGTGTCTGTGAGCACATCGTAAGCACACCTACCGCGGTAAGGCGTCCGTAGCTATCGTTCTAAAGGCGGCAACCATTGATATCCCTCAACTCCATGCCAACATCCCTTCCATCCCGCCTGTCAGCTCAGCCAACAAGATGCCCGCCCCGCAACGAAGAGATCCTTCTAGAAGCGACGGTCGCGAGGCTATGAACAGCACGGAATGACACCCACCGCACATGCTACATCCTTCCAGCCTGCTCAGGCCCCCAACTTTGTACACTTATTTCATACTCATACTACCTAACTTGTTCACCGAACCATTTCGGCATTCGGTATCGTCAACGTCGGGCACGGGTCCACTTCACACCGGTCCCGCCTCCGGCCCCACAATCCCGATGAGAACCGCTCCGGCTCCGGCGACGCCGTTTCTCGGTCAAATTCTTGCCATTGTGATATATGAATCGTCCGTGGCAACCACACTTGCCTTTCGGACCCATAGACCTTCGAATGGAAGCAGCTCACGCTTGTTAAATCCCAAAGACGTTTCTAATAGGCCACACGGCCCTAAACTCCAGGCCATGCCTTCAACTCACCAAACACTTTTGACTTACATCCGTAACGCTCTTACAAGCGGCAGCCTCGCCAGGTTGGCAGCCGATTAGAGTACTCCATGTTCCACCGAGTGCGCATGCATGCCCAATCGCAACCTAGAACCCAGCCAGAGGCAACTTCTCCCACTCCCATATCTCGAAGTCGGATATCCCATATTATACACTGTATATAACCTCTATACATGATATCTTACACCATCCCATCACGTCCCCTGCTCCTTGGCCAAAACATCCCCGAGAGCACGATACCTCCGATCGGCATAAACAAGCCCAAACCCCTCCCCACCCCCCTTCACAACCACCTCAACCTCCCCAACGACAACAACATGATCCCTCACCCTCACAACCCCCTCCCCGAGAGCCCGACACTTCAACACAAACAACACCCCGTCCCCCTCCAACACAGGCGCCTCCCCGTCCTCCTCCACGACCTCCACCCCCGCAAACACATTCCCCTCCTCGTCGTTATTCCCCCTCGTGAACCTCTCCGCCACCCGCGCACCCTCCGCCCCCTCCGCCAGCACGTGCACGTTAAACCGGCCCCCCAAGTCCTCGATCGCGGCCAGCGTCCGGCTCGGCGTCCGCACGTTGAACGTCACCAGCGGCACCGGGTCCATGCTCAGGCTGACCAGGCTCGACATCGTCATCCCCCGCGGCCGGCCCTCGCGGTCCGTGGAGGTGCAGACCACGACGGGGTGCGCCAGCCTGCGCATCACGCCGCGGAGCTGCTCCGAGAGCGTGTCTTTTGGGTTGTGGGTATGCGTGGGAGGTTGCGCCGGCGAGGTGCGCCATGATCGTGTGGGGGTCGTCGTGTGTAGAGCTCGGAGGTGGGAGGGTCGTGTTGTTTCGACGAGCGATTGCGGTCTCGCCAGGCAGGTATTCAAAGCTGTCAATTATATTCAATCAGCTGCTGTGACGACATTGTGATCTCGGAGCGCAGAAATGTAGAAAACTCACAACCTCCAGCGTCCTCCCCGCGGACCCTCACCCGGCCGGCCCGGCGCAGCGCGTTCCCCAGCACACGAGCTCCGCTCATCGCATGCCCGGTGCTCTTTACTGTCCTTGACCGGAACTCAGAACCGAGGAGCTTTTGTAGTTCAAAACTGCGAGTCGCGCGCAATAAAACGACTAGAGGCTGCGGTAGTTGGCGGGGGAAAGAAGACGTAAGTTCGTAACTGGTGGGTTTGTCATGGAAGAGGGTCCCGCGATATCTAGGTCGGTAATAGCTCAAAGCTCCGATGTGATGTAAATCCCATAAAAAAATATCCCTTATCGATAAGACCCTTCCCACCACCCACCCCGTCAATTGGGACCTACGGCCGTGCACGGAACTCCCCGGCCCCCGAACCGAAATTTTGGCCTCGCGCGCTCAACACCAAAGCCAACCCATCACGAAAGCTCCAGCTCCAGCTCTCTCCTCAACCTTCCTCTCCCACGAAGCACCCTCACGCCGCCGCCAAAATGTCCAAACTCCCAACCCACCTCCCGCGCCCGACAACCCTCCTCACAAAACGCCCATCCCTCACACGACCATCCACAACAACCCCAGCGCCCTACAACGCCTCAACACCAACCCAGCACGCCCAGTCCCGCGCCGCGACCTTCGTCCCCCGCCCCCGACGCCCCTACACCTTCACCCAGATGATCCAGCTCTCCGACGGCTCCGCCTTCACCGTCCGCACCACCTCCCCCGCGCCCCTCGTCCGCTCCGCCAAGGACTCCCGCAACCACGCCATGTGGCAGCCCACCGACAAGTCCCTCAAGAACGTCGAGGTCGACGAGGCCGGTAAGCTGGCCGCCTTCCGAGAGCGTTTCGGTCGCGGTTTCGACCTGGCCGCCAAGCCCGAGGAGGAAGAGGCCGCCGCCGCTGCTGCTCCGGCTGCTGGCAAGGACGGTGCGGGCAAGAAGCAGGATGCTGCCGCCGCTGCCGCTCCCGAAGAAGACCCCTACGACCTCGGCGACCTGATCAGCGGCTACGCGGCGAATTCCAACGTCGACCAGAGCAAACTCAACAGTGCCAAGTACGGTGTCAAGCCGAAGAACGCTTCATAAACCGGTTCGCATACGGGCAGGGAAGACGGGATGAGGGAAAGACTTGTACGATGGCAAGGACGGGTGGAAGAGAAACTGTGAGATTTGCAGCGCCCGGCCGGAGCAGAGGGAAGGCTTGGGCCAGGCACCAAAAGTCAGGAGAGGCGGATTACGAGGAGGGGAGCCCTATACCCTCGTGGGTTCTCTACTGTCACATATGTACAACAATACCAACAACAACAACGTCAACGACCAACCAAGAAAGGCTGCGACTCATGCATGCGCTTTGTTCCAAACTCGTCCGATGCCCCTCGCCGCCGCCGCATGCTCTCAAAAGAAGTAGAAACCAGTGCCTTGCGATGTTGTAGTAGGATTGATGTAAGAAAGCTTTCTGCGCGGTGACTCCTCGGCCTTCTAATCGGAGTCGTCGTTGATGGTGGCGCGGGCCCTGTCGATGGCCGTGTCGCCCGGGGGCTTGCTCTGCTGGATGACGGGCGGGCGGTAGAAGACCGTCTCGTCGTCCTCGGCGTCCAGCTGCATTAGGAATGTCTCCCACTTTTCAATCAACTGCGAATTATGTGAGTTCATGTTTGTGTGAAAATGGTGCTGTGGGCGGCTTACCTCTTTTTGTGCCTCAACCGCGCTCTCCAAGAACGTCTCCACTCCACTCTTGAAGTCCTCGACCTTCTCCCTCTCGAAGCGGTCCAGCTCCGCCCTCATCAGACGTCCCATGTCCTCAAAGAGAAGCCTCGCCTGGTGGACCTTCCTCTCGACGTCGGCCACCTCAGCGCTGATCTGGTTCAGCCTGTCCTGCTGGCTCTTGCCCTGTCGCAGGAGCTTGTCCTGTGTGCTCTTCTTCTTCTGCAGCTCTGACTCGGCCGAGTGCCACGAGTGGAACGCCTTTTGCCTCTGGCTGAAGGCCTGCTTGACCGAGCCGATGAGACGGATGTACTCCTCGATGATGATGCCGAAAGTGAGGACATCCTGCTGCGCCTGGCGGTCGTAGACGTCACGGATGGTAAGCTGCAGTTCCGACAACGCATCCAGCGGTCCTGAGAGAGATGGCGAGAGCTCGACGGTGGAGAGGGCGTGGAGCGACGCCGAGAAGTCCCCGGCGGCCTCGGCCATCATCTTACGCTGGCCGACCATCGTCTCCATGGCCTTGAGCAGTGCCTTGAGTTGGTTCTCGAGAGCGTCGAGGTACACCTTGCGGTCGTGGAACCACTGCACACGTTAGACACATCCTCAGATAATTGATACACTGGACTTACATCATCCTGCTCGACGAACTTGTTGCTGCTGCCAACACTAATACCCAGACTGCCAAGAACGCCCTTGCTCTCGCTGGGAAGCGGATCTCTGCGCTCCTTGTGCTTGACATCAACATTGAACGACTCGCTCTCGAGGAACAGCTTCAGGTCGGCGTCGTGCTGGAGGGTCGGGTGCGCGGCGGTCTTGTTCAGCATCTTCTCGAGAGCGGCCCGACGTCCCTCGACGAAGTTGCTCTCAAAGCGACCGACGGCCTGCTTCTCCGGCGGCGGCGGCACGACCACTCCCGGGTTGTTTCCGTGGAGTGTGTTATACAGCCACAAGAAGTCGCGGTACCTGCGCTTGACCTCGAACTCGGGCTGCTTGTAAGCCTTGGAGGATGTCTGCAGCAGCACACAGTCAGCACCCTTCACCCGACCGACTATGACGACACATCCCGGTGTCTCCTTACCTTGGTCCGCACGGAGTAGACAATGTGCGAGCTCGTCAGGTCGCCGACCTTGTGCGGGTCGCCCACGGTGATGGTAAAGGTCGGTTTGCTAGCCTGCTCCACGCTCATGCTGGGTTGGGTATGCGTCCGGACGGGACTCGGATGCGCGGCCTGGACGGGCGGCGGCTGTCTCGGGCCCGAGGGGCGATCGTACTCGTCGTCGTCGATGCGGTGAGGGTCAGCCGGACCGGAGCGCCTGGCCTGCTGCTGCGGCGGCATCGTGGTGCGGATCACCATCTGCTCCTTCTGCGGCGGGACGGGCGGAGCGTCTTGGCCCGCGTCGGCGCCATGGTCGTCGGCGGCGGCGGGAGCGCCAAGGGGACCCAGAGGACCGAGGGGATCGTCGACGGCCTCGAGGCGGGTGGGCTGGGCGACCAGGCGACGGACGGGACCGGATCGTGACGGACGAGGGGCGGAGGAGGTGCTGGGAGCGTCCGACTTGGCGGAAGCCTGCGACGTCGACTGCTCGTTCTGAGAGGGCGCTTGCGAGGGGGCCTCGGCGGCGGGTTGCGAATCGCCCCAGGGCGACTCTTCGAGGGGATCCATGCTGGTGTGTTTGCGCTTCAATCTGGAGTCTCGTGGAAATGGATTGGCGTCAACGAGATCGAGACCACGCAAGCGGTAGAAGTGAGAGGTGGTATGTCGATAAGTGTTGAGGTAGGTAGTTACGTAGGCAGGTTGACAAGGCAGCACGGCCGGTTCTGGTCTCACTGACGCTCAATGCGAATGCACCAGCTGCTCCGCACCATGTGATTCGCTGAAGTCCGTTGGGAGCTTCAGCCACTTGGGCCTAATCGGGAGCCCATTGAGGCCCCTGTAGCCGCCCCAGGCCAATCTTACAGCGCTGACCTCACCGAACACTACCGACGGGAGTGCCTAGGGCAGCCTTTATGACATTCCGAGAGCCAAAACATGCAAATCACAAGCAAAGAATAAGGTCCAGGTATCTAAATTCATTTTTGATTCACAGAAACAGCTATGGTTAATGCTGCTAAGACTGTTTATCCTACAAAAGGCATGCCAGCCTGTCGTCCTCATCCCCAACGCCTAACTGGATGAAAGCAATTTGTCCTACCCGACCAGGTAATTATTCGGTGGTTGTCCTCCTACCTCCTCAGCGATCGGGATCGTAGCAGCCTCCGGCCACAATCAAGTTCATGCGGGTGAACTGCACCTTCATTACAGGCGTCTTCTTCGTCGGGAACGCGCTGATCTGGTCGGGCGTGATCATGACCTCCTTGCCCTTCTTCTTGCTTCCGCCTGCGGCGCTGGAGCTGCCACCAGTGTTTCCCTGATTGCTGGCGTTCTGGCGCTCGGTCTGTCCAGTAGCAGCAACGATGGTGTCACCTCCTTCTTGCGCGGGGGCCGTTCCTTGCTGCGGCTGAAGCGCCTTGTGGCCCTCTGCGGGGAGGTCGACATCCCAAACGCGGACTGTGCCGTCCTGGCCACCAGACACCAGCACGTTGGACTCGACGCTGAAGCTCATCGACCAAATGCCACCCTTGCCGTGGCCGCGAGAGCGCTTGATGCGGGCTCCCTTCTGAATGTCCCAAAAGAAAATGTTACCGCTGTTGTCAGCACTGGCGAGGATCTTGCCGTTGGGCGCGCACTCGAGCGATGAGATGTAATCAGTGTGACCCGTAAAGACGCGGACGCATTGGCCAGTAACTACGGACCACATACGAACCGACTTGTCAGTTTCGTCGGACGCGGTAAAGACGTAGGTACCGTTAGGATGCCAAGCGACAGCAGAAATGCTCGAGTCGTGTCCGACCAGAATGCGCTGAGCAGAGGCGTGATCCTGCATCCAGATACGGGCCGTCTTGTCCCATCCACCGGTCAAGAAGTAGTGTCCGTGAGGACCCCAGCTTGCCCTCAGAACCGGGCCGTCGTGGCCCTTGAAGACGCATACGCAAGCCCAGATGTCGAGAGACCAGATGCGAACGGTACCGTCTGCAGATGCCGACAGCAGCAGTTTTGAGCCGGTTTCAATAGGTTGCTCCCCCTTGCCCTCGTCGCCGAACGGCGCGTGCTCGAGCCCAGCGATCGCGTCCGAGAACGAGACGGAATACACAGGTCCAGAGTGGCCAATCAACTTGCGGTTGTTGAACTTGAAGTCCTTCTCATCGGCCCTCTTGGACTTCAAAGCCTTGCCCTCCAGGTGCCAAACGCGAATGTAAGAGTCTGTGGTTCCGACGGCAACCAGCTCGTGGTCTTGTGAGAAGTCCATGCATGAGACGCTGATTTGTTAGTGGCGTTCACTTCATAAGGAGTTGACGACTTACCTTCCGAGTGTGTTGTGGAATGTGAACATGCATGCGCTGACGGGAACACCAACGCCTCCAGTACGGCCCTCGATCTTGAAACGATCACGATTCTCCCTAACCTTCTGCATTTCCATTACAACGTCGCGAGCGCGGGACGGCGGGAGAGGGAGGTCGGCCCTGGTAGGGCCATCGGCGCTCTCCTCACGCTTGATCTTCCGATCGAACTCATCAACGAGAGTAGGTCTACCATCAGGCGGGGGGTTGAGTGCGTCCTCGTCCGCAAGCTCGGCCCGAACGTCGTCACGGAGGTCCTCCTCCATGGGCAAAGAGCCGAGCTTGAGAGGCGCAGTCTTGTCCAACAGGTCTCGGTTCGAGATGCCTGTAAAGACTCCGGGGATGCCTTCCTGGAGATCCACCTCGTCATAGTCCAAGTTCTGGCTACGACGGTAGATAGCTTCGAAACTGAAGGGCTCGATGGGACCGCGGGCGGTCGAGTCCAGCTGGCAAAAGGTTTGGAGGATGTAGGTGATAACGGCACCTCCGTTGTCACGCTCGCGCTCGAGGAAGTGGAACAGGTTGCCGCTGACATGCTGGTTCAAGGGGATGCGGTACTTGTTCTCGCGGTACAGCTTGGTGGTCGGGTTCTCCTTGACGTGGAGAGGAAGGGTGATTGTGGAAAAGGTCTTGAGGTCGTCGGCGTGGATGTTCTCGAAGTAGGGCTTCAGCGTGTTGAGAAGGCTTTTGGCGTCCTCCGAATATCCTTGAGTGACCAACTCGAGCCAAGAGTAGACGAAAACAGGCCAGAGCAGCTTGTTCAACTCGAACTGGGACGTATTAGACAGGATCGTTTGCATGCGAATCAACAACTTGCCTTGTAAATGTCCAAGTTGTTCTCCACCCACTCGCGCAGCAGGTTGAACGCCTTCAAGTACTTCTTGGGGCCCAACTCATCAACCTTATTGTGGATTGGCCTGCCATCGGGACCGAGGTGACTGGACTCCTGACGAAAGATGGTTTCCGTTCTAGTGTAACCACGCTTGAGCAGGTAGTCCGTAACCTGGCGAGAATGTCAGCTTGGGTCCCGCAAGTGATGATGTTGTCATCCATCCAAAGCATGCGATGGAATCCTTCCCGTCACGGACAATTGCTTTGCCTCGTTCAATTATTCGATACTCCTCATCAGACACCACCTTTTGCTCCGGCGCAGAAGCCATAGTCGCCTTAATACACAATCCGAACAAAAACGGTATCTTCAACTTGCGAGGCTGTGGTGAGGGATAACAGAGGATGGCGACTCGAGATGAACGTTGAGGAGATAATAACAGGATCTGCCCAACGTCACATCCCTTTTCCGTCGTGTGCCGGAGGATACCTGCAGACACCGAGCATCGCTTCCTCATTCACCAAAGCCTCAACCATCGCATCAAGAATCCTCCCTCGCTCCTCCCCATCCAAGGAATCAACCGGACAAAAACGTAACTTACAATCTGGTTCAAGTTCTGGTTCGACATCGGAGCGGTGGCAGGCGCGGGCGCAGGTGCCGGCGTAGTAGCAGGTACGGGAACAGGCGTCGTCGATATGGGAGCAGGAATCGGCGTCGTCGATACGGGTTGTTGTTGCTGTTGCGCCTGCTGCTGCTGCTGTTGTTGCTGTTGAGGTGGTGGTGGCGGTTGGTAAGTGACCGATCCGCCTCCCGGCGTGGGGATGGGTACGGGCGTCTGCCCAGGCGGGTTGCCCGACATCTTGGATCGTTCCTTCCCGTAACTCTAAACAGAAAAATTTGATGAAAACTCGATTACTCCTTCCAAAACTGATGGTACATCGTCATCGGCGCGACGGACCAGGTTGCGCGTGTGAGGCGTTCACTAAACGTGAGTCGACGTTCAAGGAAGGAGCGGGTGAAATATGTAAACAATAACTTGGAAAAACGAGATCAAACAATGAAAACACAGCGTCTCCAGTCCTATGCTGTGGTGCTCTCGTCTTTGAAGTCGGACTCGATGGATTTTGATGGATTCGATGAGTGTCGCGTTCCCCCGATGAGTGAGGCTCAATACCCTGCAAGGCTGCAAAGAGAGAAGAGAGGTTGGCAGCGGAAAATATCCATCCAAAAGCGCGCTATCCCGCTTTCGGCGTAGTGCTGTCCAGGTATGACCCCAATCATTGGGTGAAGCTCTGACCTTTGAGGCCCACTCATTCTGTGCGACGCGGTACCTCTCCAATGTACCTTTTTCGAGATTCATCACCAAGATCTCACTCAACAACCTCTTGCTCATCTCATCCATTTTCAAGTCTGGAAACCCCCATCACACAAACAGACCACCAAATCATCACCAGCACACAGAAACCGCCCAAAATGGCCGACACAAACATGACCGACGACCAACCCGCCCCGGACCCCTTCACCCTCGAAGAACGCATCCAACAGCTCTGCGACATCGACAAGAGCATAGTCCAGCTCATGAACCACACCTCATCCGCCATGTCCGCCCTGAGTAACAAACCCCAAGCACCCAAACCCACATCCACATCCTCCTCCGACGCACCACCACCACCGCAAACCTCAATCGTCTCCCCAGAAGACCAAAAACAGCTCTTCAAATCCTCAATGGACTCCCTCCTCTCCACCCTGCACACCGTCGACATCCACATGAAGCGCCAGATCATGGGCCTCGAGGAGGCTGGCATCATCAAGCTCCGCAACGACGCCTCCAAGGACCGTCAGCCCGTCATGAACGAGGACGCAAAGATCGTCGCCCGGCCCTCCCTCGAGCCCAACGGCGTCGGCACCATCGGCAACCTCGACGTCGGCTGGCTCAACAGCCGCAACAACAAGGTCGAGCGCGACATGGAGGCCGAGCTGTGGGCCAAGATGAGGGACTTCCTCGAGAAGTACCACGCCGAAGAGCAGCAGGAAGCCGGAGACAGGATGCAGCAGTGAGAACCAGGCTTTCTGGACGAAGTCCTTCCCAGAGGCCGCAATGGCGTTGATGCCACCACGACAAGAATATGATGTGCGTAGATCTTCCCACAAATTCTCTTCTGATATCAACCAATGCTAACTTAATAGACCAAGATACCCATATAGAAGCTGGAAAATAAGCTGCAGTGGGCAGGACAGGAGTGCGTCATCACAGGAAGAGACGCATTCAACTCATCAGGAATTCATACAGTAAAGCTTCTGATTAACACTACTCATGCTCCCGCGTCTTTTCTCCGTCCATCGATGATTATGCGTGTCTCATTACAGGTGCGTGCTGATAACCGTAAAAACTAAACATGTAGAAAAAATGCACCCATGCTCAAACGCCAATTGATACAGCAAAGTGTCCGCCTATTTTCCGACGAGAAAGAGCACCAAACCACGAAGAGAATAATGCCATCTCGAGCCCATACTTAACTTCACTGCAAGTGCAGCTCGCCAAAGTTTCAGATGACAAACTCCTGTCTGCCTTGGACGAGCCCAACATCCATCTTCGTAACAGCAACCCAGTCCGGGGCGTACTGCAACACTTCGTCAAGTGCCGGAATGGCGCCCAAAACGTTGGCATCGCTCCAATCGCAGACAATTCTACCAGCAGGCCCCTGCGCTGCGGTCTCGCGAACTCGGAGCTCTTCACTGGTTCCAGTGACAGCTGAAGCCGCGGGTGAGGATGTGTCAGAGGACGAAGAAGACGAGTCCTTGGATCCATCCCACTCGATGTCCACAGTCCACGGCTTTGACCACTCTCTTCGCCAAAGTGAAATCACCCCTACTCCAGCATTTGGCATCCGTCCCAACAGAGGCTCAATGCCAGGATTTCCATGCACCGAAAACTGGGTTATCTGGTCGTTAGGAAAGATGAGGGTGCAATGCTTCGTGTCTTTGGCGTCAATGTCCAGTCTAGCCTTGTACTTCGAGTTCGAGCGGCTAACATTGACCGTCACGAGGTCGGCGTACTTGTCCTTGGAGAAATCGTTGAAGAGACTGCCCGTGAGCTTGGGCGGTACCGCAGCCCCGTCGAACGTGCATGCCGAGAGCTGAAGGGACGCCCCCTTTTGGCACTGGGGAGTTTGACCCGCAGCGGATGGAAGCTCGTCAATGACCTTGCGAACGTATTTTTCGACACCAAAGATGGTCACATCTGTTGACCCGTCTTGCAAGTCGACCTTTTGAAGGAACCTGACCTTGAGTCGATTATTGGCGGAGAAGGGGAACGCAACCAAGTTGTAGATGAGGGTGATGACACAGACGATAATCAAGAACAAAGGCAGGTAGAAGGTAACGCGATGGATGAAGGGAGTGACTGGCAAGAGGACCAAGATGCTGAAAACAGCCAGCATCAGGTAAACAGTCATCGAGTCCATACCATCTGCGCTTACTGATCGAATGGCCGCCGCCAGCGTGACGCCAACCTGGCCAAAAACGATCAGCGTGATAGGGGCCAGCACCAGAAGCTGGAGGAACCAAGTCCATGAGGGCAATTTCTTAGACCACGGCTGCTCTTGGTCGTGAAGTTTGGTTTCGTCGTCAGCTTCCTTGCCATCCTGGTTGTTCATGATGGCCGAAAGAGATCGTCGGTACCCAGAAGTAAAGGTCGTTCGAATCGTTCCATGGTTTCCGTTCTCGCCGCCCAACAGAGCAGTAGTCTCCGTTGGCTCTCCGGACTGTTCCTCTCCATTTGCGCGGGCCGCACCTTCATTCGGGCCAGAGGAAATCAGCGCATCGGAATTGGGGACCTCGGCAAGGTCGTCTCTGGCCTGCTGGTCGTGGTGCACAGTTCGGGCATATTCTTGCTTGCTCGGGAGTGCGAACAGATCCAGGAGACTGATGAGTGTCGCGACGAAGACAGCAGAGTGGAGGAAGGCGAATAAATAGCCTGAGGCGATTTTCATTCTGTCCACGGAGACCGTAACAACAACCAGAACAGTCCAGCTGATGATGAAAAGCCATATGTGGGCGTATCCTCGTTGAAGAGCGCTTGGTCTGACAGAGCTTGCGCCTTTGGAGATGGTCCAGAAGCTGGCGAAAAATAGAGACAGAAACGTCGCCCACCTGCGGGTGTCAGCTGAGGTACCGGATGATGTTTGATGTGAGAGTCACTTACACTACGAAGTCACTACTGTGGCTGATTTGAGGGTTGACTTTGTTAATGAGAAGAGCAGCGGCAATTGTCAATCCAGCTGAAACGATGAAGGCAAAAGGAAACCGGAAGAAGCCCTTCCAGCCCCCGATGGCGACGTCTTCATCGTCATCGAACTTGACCTTGCCAGAGAAGAAGTAATATTTGTCGTTCCTGACGAGAAGGTACGTCACCAGGAAAAGAACCAGCGGTGTCACGATGAGCAGAGTCAACGCCCATGCAAAAAGACCTCGAAGTGCCAGGGCGGCGAAACCTCGTCCGAACATGTCAAACCACACACCGTCGGTGCCAGGGCCGCTCGACACTTTCCTCTTGTCGTCGTTTGGAGGACTGCCCCCGAAGGTAGTGGTATCCTTTTGAAGAGTGTCGACTGCGCCAAACGAATTGGACAGCATATGCCACAAACTCTCTTGGGACGCATGGCGGGCATCGTCCTGGTTTGTGTGGTAGCGTGCGCGCGGGCGGTAAAAGGCGATATCGAGACCCCGCTGACCGAAATTCTTGGTCCAGACGGAGTAGTCGGTGTCGCTCCTGATGAAGCCCAAGTTGAAACCATCGGCGGCAACGACAGATCCGAACGGACGGCGGACATGCTCGTAGGCCCTGACAGTCTCCAAGTCAGATGCCCGGAACAGGATAGCTCGCCCGCCGGCGCCGGCGCCCTCGAGATTGACGAATGTAGTGGTGAAGTGGTAGAGAGGGCTGTAAAGGTAAGCCTTTGCTCCGAATAGACCGTCTTCTTCGCCGTTGTTGAGGAGCAGCACAACCCCGCGTTTGGGCTGGTTGCCTTTTATTGTGTAGTAGTTGAGCATCTGGAGAACGCTCACACAACCCATGCCGTCGTCGGTCGCACCATAACCAGTAGAGACGCTGTCGTAGTGGGCATTGACAAGAACTCCACCCTTGCCAATTGCGCGGCCCTCGTCGTTCTTCCACCACTCGCCGTCCTCATCCTCAGTGCCTCGAATGTAGACAAGCTGGTTCGTAGCCTCGAAGTAGACACCGGTGCCTTGGCCGGCACCAGTAGCGTACGAAACATTTGAAATCTTGTCGTCAAAGATGGTGACGAGGGGACCTTCCGAGGCTCTCTTGACATCGTCTCTCGAGGTTGTCAACCAGCTACAAGAAAATCGTCAGCGACGCCTTAAACCCTCCACTGTAGGAAAACCCACGGTTGTTGCGTCTCCCGCACAATGCCACCAGGAACCTTTTCGCGCGTCCACTCGACTCCATTCCGACGCAGAGTCTCCTCGATCCTCGTCAGCAGGTACTTGCCGACGTCCTCGTTTGCGCGGCTGTTGTAGGGGTGGTATCGCTTCGTGATGGCCGTCAGATCGTGCCACGCCTCGGTGACGTTCAGTCCCTCGGGCGTCTTGCCGACCGACGGGACCGTCTCGTGGATCCACACGATCGGAATCAGGAAGGCCGCGTAGACGACGATCAGCCAAAAGGTGACCGGACCGGTCGTGAACCCGAAGGGGTTGACAGCCATGGCTGCCTTATCGTGGTGGATATGTCGCTCGAGGTGACGATGGTGGTGCTTTGATTAAACGATTGTCGGTGATGATATGCCTAGTCCAGGAGAGAGAAGGTATTTGACTACGAAAGCCACTGTGTAGTTGGAAGGAAATGGGACGGAGGAGGCAGACGGATGGAAACGTCACATAACCCAGCCAAACAGGTGAGAAAGTAGGGAGGAAGCAGATGTAGAAGGCGTCATTCAGGTTTGGGATAACAGCGCCTGCACCCCGTATCCGCATCTCTGCGCGGACAGGCGGAGGCGGGACTCTTTGGATGATGCACACCTGCAAGCACCTACCTTTAGCGGAGAAGGTGGCCCAAGCTCCCTTCTGGCTTGGATCCAGCCCGGGCGTCCAGTCCCGTCCTCGACCTCCTCCACCATCGCGTCGCCGCCACTAGAGCGCCTACGACGTGCGAAATGGATGTCATTAATGCGGGGTTCTTATGCAACCACAACGCTCGCCATGCATCTTGCGCCTGGTTTGCGACGCTCACCTTACGATGTCTTGCTTTGGTGCAACTCAATTACAGTATTCGATGCGTCAGCGACGGTCCAATCACTACCATGAAAAGAACGTGAACAAGGTTTCCTAGACACCTGTCTCCAAGGTTCGGCCTTCAAACTCGGACCCGACTCCGAGACAGCGCTTTGTCTGTCACAAACAGCTTCACGTGAACTGAATCAATTTTAGAAATAGGATGAACTATTGTCCTTGCTATAGTAGTCGAGTAACCCTATGGATTAGTGCCAACTTTCTGTCTATCGTACAATCTCAGTTGCGCCTCTGCTTTCTCAATTGTGAATGTTTGTTATGAAAGAACGTGTTAACACTGGCGGCCGGGGATCATGGTAATGAGCAGTCCTTGCTTATTAGTCCGTCGTTAGTCGGCATATGCCGTCAGTGTCCTGTTAGTCTCTGTGCCCGCATCCCGATGTCTCGGATCAGGCGCCCGGAGGAGGCGGGGGAGGCTGATCGCTGGGAGGCGGAGGAGGAGCATTGTCGGAGGGAGGAGGAGGGGGCGCGCCGCTGGCGTATTGCTGGATGAGCGCATTGAGACCACCAGCCAGACCAGGAGGAGCTCCAAGACCAGGAGCACCGGGAGGTGGTGGAGGGCCGCTCGGGGGAGCAGCATTCATACCAGGAGGAGCACCGTATCCGGGGTAGCCACCGTAGCCACCATAGCCGCCGTTTTGAGTGCCAGGGGCTTGGTGCCAGGGAGCAGCGCCGGGAGCACCGCCAGCAGGGGCGCCGCCGTAGCCCTGGCCGTAGTAGCTGTCGCCACCATGGCCACCGCCACCGCCGTGGTCATCGCGGCGGTTACCACGGTCGCGAGCCCAAGGAGCAGTAGAACCACCGCCGTCGCGGTCACGGTCATCGCGCGAGTCGTTGTTACGACTGCTGCGCCAAGGTGCAGGACCGCCGGTTGGGCCGCGCTCCCAGGGCTTCTCGCTTCTGGGACCGTTGTTGTTGTCATTGTACGAGCCAGGTCCAGCCTCGATACGCGCAGGAGCAGCACCGGAGCCGCCGCCGAGTTCTTGCATGAGTTGCTGCGTCAAAGTTAGTACGGTCGATATCATGAAGACATAGGGGAAAACATACCTCGTACTCGCGGTCGACGGCATCTCCGCTTCCGATGCGGCCGGCGGGGCCTCTAGCACCAGCCTGGCCATCGTTGCGCCAGCTGGCACCCTTCTGGCGGTCGGGACAATCTCTGGCCATGTGTCCAGCGTTGCCACAGACACGGCAGATGATGCTTGCAGTGTAGTTTTGGCGCTCGGGGCAGTCGTACTTGCGGTGACCGATTTGACCGCAGTTCTGGCAGGCCTGGTTCTCGTCGTCTCTGAGGGTACCGTTGAGAGCAGCGAGCTCACGAAGCTGGTTACGCTTGAGCTCGTTCTGTCCCTCGGGAATGGAGGCGGCCTGTGTGAAAGTGATTAGCCAATGTCATGGACGATGAGAGGATGTAACGTACCGTTTCAATGATGTTGTGGATGAGCTTCTTCGCCTTATTGACCTTCTCCTCGGTGTCGGCCATAATGAGACAGTGCAGGTCCTCCTCCTGGTTGCTAGCGTGAGCCGCGTCCGAACGTCCCTTGCCCTCCTTCACGGAGCCCTTGCCACGGATGGCAATCTTGGCGCCGGATTCTCCTTCCATCTTCTTTAAAGTGTTGCCACGGGGTCCGATAAGTAAGCCAACTTCATGGGGAGAGCTAAGCGTTAGTGTCTGTATCAAAAGGGTGAAGCAAGTAATGACGGTCCCGATCTGCAAACAAGGCCAGGTCTGACAAGACACCTGGGGGATGCATGACAAATATGGCCAGAGTCCAGGCAGGGAACAAGGGAAACAAGGATTTTGGTTAGGAGGGTTAGAGGGTTAGCAATCATACTGAAGTTAATCTCTGGATAATCGTTAACAGGCACGTAGACCTTTTCTTGGGTCTTGGTGGGCCTGCGGTAATCCTGCGGCGGGTGGTAGTTAGGGATGGTCTTCATTGCCTTCTCGATGAGCTTGTGGCGCTCATCCTCGAGGCGCTTGCGGTATCGGTATTCGCGGGTGTTGATACGGCGACCGTGGTTGTCGTACTGCGGAGGCGGCGACGGAGATCTGAGCAGTCAGTTGGGGGTTCAAGCACAAACGTGAGCGAGCAAACATACCTGTCTCCGTCCGCCGGGACGACGTCGTCGATGCGAAGCTTCTGGCTGATTTCCGTAATGCGCAAGTGCAGAGTGTAGGCCTCCAGCTGCTCGCCCGTCATGTTCGCCGTGATGGCCGTTGTGAGGCCCATCAAGCCTGCAGCCTTGTTCTCCGACGCGTCGCCCCAGCGGTTTCTCTTCTTTCGGCGTCGAGGTCCATCGGCGTCGGTGCCTTAATGCGAACGTTAGATTCAATGCGACGAGAACGCGACAAGGGACTGCGAAAACTTACGAGGCTCCGGGCTGCGGCCGCGCTTGAGCTCGCCGTTGCCGTGGCCGTTGCTGTTGCCATTGCTGAACGACTCGGGCTCTTCATCGTCGCCACCGAAGCGGCGCTTTCCGAGAGGAATGTTGTTGGAACCTGTGATTCCCTGGTTTCTCCACGACATTGCGATCTCTGTGCGATGGCACTGGTACTGTCGACAGGGAGGCGATGTGGTGTGATGGCGATTGCCGATTGCGATGAAGGAGGAAGGGAACTTTTATATGGACCCGAGTTTGGAGCTGCGGAGGTGGAAACCATGTCCGGAGGCTGAGCTTGCTTGGCAGGGACTGCCAGCTGGCGGATACAGTCTGCCCACGTGATTTTGAAAAAGTTGCCTGCCGCATTCAAGACCTTTTTCATTGGCTCAGAATAAATAGTATTGAAAAGTCATCCACAGGTTCCCTTCAGTCTATAGCAGAGCTCAAAGCCACTTCAAACCAAGATGAACATGATGCAAACATCAGAAATCGCATGGGCATTACCCATAGGATAACTCAAAGTCACAAAAAGCAAAAATATGATCAGTGGGAGGCTTGAACTCCCGGCCTTGGCATTACCAGACATGTCTGATGACATATTAGTACCACGCTCTAACCAACTGAGCTAACCGACCCGTTGTTGAGTTGTTGCAGGAGACAGGCAATTTCCGTGTCCTTGTAGCGCCCGTCCAATCCCACGCACCGCTTTTTCCAATTCTTCGGGAAGGATTCACTTGCAAGTTATCGAGCTCGTTTCATTGGAAGGCTTTGAATTCATTTTTGTATCATCATGCGCTCATTACAACTCATTCCTTATTTCTTCGCAGCATCCTCCTTCATGCCCTTAAGGATCCACGCCGAGGCACCCTTGGCCTGCGCATCCAGCTCCTCCTCAGTCTTCGTGTGGTGCTCAAGCGCCGTGTGAGGCGACGGCACGTTGCGGCCGGCCTCGAAGCCGGGACGCTCGACCAGCTTCCACAGCCACGCCTTCAGCGCCGGGAACTCCTCGAGGTCGACGCCGGCCCACTTGGACGCCGCGACCCAGCCCCAGCACGCCATGTCGGCGATCGTCACGCGGTCGCCGACGAGGTAGCCGTGCGGGTTGGCCTTGAGCTGGGTGTCCATGGTGCGGTACAGGCGGCGGGTCTCGTTGGTGTAGCGGTCGATGCCGTACTGGATCTTCTCGGGTGCGTAGCCTGAGAGGGGGATGGTCAATTCGGTGAACAACAAGACACATGCGGAGGTTTAGGGCGCCTTACGCTTGAAGTGGTTGGCCTGTCCCTGCATGGGACCCAGACCACCCATCTGCCAGTGCAGCTGCATCGCGTCAGTCCATGTTGTCTCAGTGAGTGCGGCAATGTCGACATACCCAGTTGTTCACCTCCCAGTACTCGCGGGAGCCGTACGGGTAAGAGACCTTATGGTCCTTGTCGTAGCGGTCGACGAGGTACTGCATGATGCTGCCGCTCTCGAACAGGCGGATCTGCTTGCCATCCTCGAAAGTATCCGTAATGGCCGGGATACGTCCATTGGGGTTGATCTCCAGGAACCAGGGCTCCTTCTGGGTGTTCTTGGAGATGTCAATGGTGGTGGTCTTGTACTCCAGGTTGAGCTCCTCCAACAGGATGGAGACCTTGATACCGTTGGGCGTGCCAAGGGTGTACAGGTGGATATCGGTCTTAGTCTTGGAAGCCATTGTGAATACTTGTTTACTCAACTGTCCCAGTCGAGTGGTCATGAAAGGTAGTGTGATTGCAGCAGAAAGTTAGAGATGTCGTCAGGACAAGGTGTGGAAAGGTGTGAAGAACGCCGAGGCTACAGTTTTTTAAATACTAATCCGAGCTCTGTACGGTGAGCTGTACTGATGAAGTAAAAGCCCATTGACCCCTCAATTGGGACCTTATAAATCTGGGGGGAAAGACCCGCCGGGGCCTTCCACGGTGCACGACATGTTTGGAAATGCTTCCGTCACAGTGACCCCCTCCATCGCGACAGGAGGTGGACGGCGGGGGGCTCTGACTTGCTCTCTTGTTGAGATGCTTAGAAATCATCCCACCTCACAGCAATGGCGTCACCTCCACCGGACCTTCGACGGGCGGGCTCCGCGTGCCGAAAGTGGGGGCCTCTGTGCGACACATCAGCTTCTCATGGATAACTAAGCAACTTCAACCTCACTCGACTTCATTTGTTGAGGCGCATCGGTAAGCAATTCCATTGCTGCCTGCTTCGTTGGAAATCTCGGAATGGAGTCACTCCGGCTGTGATGTCGGACCCGGACGGAACAGGTAGCCGACGGCAGCAACCGTTGAGGTCTCGGCGCTCCGGATGTCGTCAGCAGAACCTGCCTATTGCGGCCATCAAGGGCCGCGAAGGATTCACATCAGAACTATTTTGGTCCAATCTGCTTATTTCTCTTGTTTCCTCTTTGTGCGGATGCACGGAGGCAGTCACGAACCTTACCGAAAATTTACGGTATAATCGGACAGAGTTCAGTCAAAATACCCCGGAGTTCCACCTTGGCGCTCTCCGTATATACAGATTCCTCACGGTCAGATGATCCGAAACTGGCACTTTCCAGAGACATCTCGGGGTTGCATTTGGCAGTAACTACCTACTCCCGAACAACTATCCGGAACTGCGAGTTTTCTGCCTACATTCCAAACTATCCTCAGGAAACTACTTCCTCTACTTTCTGTCTCGAACCCAAGCATTTCAACTATCTTGTTTCTAAGATGAGTCGCCTGACTTCGCCTCTAAACAATGACTCTACTTGCACACTAGGTCAAAGGACCTGCGAGTAGAGCCGACGTTTTCGTGATCTTGCAGAAGGGAAAAGTAAGACCTCCCGGCGGAAAGGTCTGTTCATCTGGGGCAGCCTTTTCTGCGTCTAGACATTGTCAGTCTAGAAGACCAGATCATCAGAGGACTTGCCTGCGATCTAATCCCACACGTACCGTTCTTTGATGAATGCGACGCTGATATCCATACCAGGAAACTCTCCTGCCACCAACCGACAACACAAACGCAAGGGAAAACATGCGACAGAAATGAGAACATATCCCCATTATTGACTGCTTCAACTCTTCCGAGCATCTCGTCAGTGTTGTGGCTCCCTTCTGAGAACAGCGCCAGGTTGAGGAGTAGTCCCCTCAGCTACCAACACCCATGGCAGGTCATATGGCCTAGCTGTACCCGGGGTCTGGAAAGTCACAACGGGCGCAGGCGACTGCTGATGCTTCGATGTCAGCTCTTGCGAACCGCTAGCCTCAGCTGGAGCTTGACGGTTTTGGCACGGGCAGAAGTAGGGCTTTGTCCGAAGATCCCTGCGAAGTGCCTCTTTACGAGCGCTCTGTTGCTCGATCCCGGCCCGCAACAGCTGCAGCGGCATCCTCGCGTTCACGAGTTCACCTGAAGACTCGGTGCCAGGAACGGGGGCCAGTCTAGTGATGGCGGGAACGTGGGCCGGTCCAGTCGGCAAAGAAACACCAACGCCTGAGCATGTGGTGAAACGCAACGGTTTCTCAGCATTCGGCGCCTGATTCGGCGCACGCATCGAAGCCATCGCCTGCACCAACTCTGCCGAGGACTGGGAGCACTTCGGCAACCGAGGGCTGCTAACAATGGTTTTGTGTAAGTCATTGCCTGCTCAGGTGCGGATGAAGATCTTACCATTGAGGCGCACGTTGCTGTCCCTGCTGCCAAGTCATTGGAGCAATCTGGTCTCCAACTCTAGGCTCAGCTCGATGGTTTGGAGAACATCGCGGCAGGTTCTCGGCAGGGGACTGTGTTTCGACGCGAGCCCTCTTTACTGCCGGTTCAGCCTCCATCTGGGCGCCGGTGTCCTGGCCATTGAGAGCCTGGTCCTGCGAAGCTCGACTACAGTCCTGTTCGGAGTTGGACTGTGCGACCTTCGGCTCGACGGGAGAACGATGCTCGGTATTGGCAGGCTGTTCATTCCGCTCGGCCGACGCGGACGGTGTATTTTCGGCAGCATAGCGTTCAAAGTTGAAAAGGCGCTTCCACTCCTCATCGTCAACAGGGCCAGGCGCATTTGCCGGTGACAAGCCCACCAGATCAGATGCGCCGCCGACTCTTCCATAAATGGAGGACTTGTAGTCCATCATTGGATAAGTCGGTGCTTTCTGGGCTGGTTCCAGGGCCTGGAGGTGTTTCGGAACCGGCCGATAAGCCTTCCACACGGAAGGCCGCTCAGCTTCACGTAAAGTGACCGACTTGGACTTCCCTCCGCTGAACCCAGGTGGCCACTGATTCGAATCCATCCTTACTGACTGATATGATCACAGAGATGTGAGAAAATGATGTGATGTCCAAAGAGAGGGGGGAGGGGGGTTGGGTGTAAGTATTTTATGGCTTCAAACAACGTACTCAAACACCGCTCGCAGCGGATGCGAAGAAGCAGGCGGCGTTCAGTCAGAGCCCATTTCCGATCCAGTTACCGACGCAATGGGTGCTTCGTCTGGGGTAAAGGTGGGAATGGTTGACGGGGTATGTGGCTGATGATATCAAAAATCAGACTTGACGACAAGAAGGAAACATGTACACGAAATGTGCACAAGAAAAATGAATAAGGAGAGGAAGAAAAGCCCAACGAAAGCTGGAGAGAGAGGGACATACCTGAGTCCACGAGGGTGGGTTGGCTTGACCTGTCACAGCTGACAGCAAGTGCCGCTGCGAAGTTTTTTTCAGACGCTCGACGACGATCCAGGAGAACCGAATTCGAGGTCGATTTGTCGACAACGAACTGCTTTCAGTCGGCACAGTGTGCGTTTGATGAATCCGAGTTCCCTACCCACGACTTCTTCTTGGAAGATGGGGGATGATTCTGATGGTGTGGGGGGAGAGAAAACAATCGATCACTCGATGTGAAGGCGGGATGATGCAGAATTTTCAAGGGAAAAGAAGGCAGGTTTGCTCGCCTTTACCCTGGAAAGAAACGGTGGGGAGTGGGCACTCTTTCTCGGAGCGGAAATGCTGCAGAGCATAAGGTAATACAGGAATGGGCAGTGATCAAACGCCTGGCAGGAGCAGAGCCGCTCAGCTTGACGAGAAAGTACCTCGACACGAGAACTGACATACAATAGATACTCCTGGGCTTACCAGAAAACCTGCGCACTCGCCCTCATCTCGAATTCCTCCGTCAGCCAAAATCCACGCGGCGTTCATACATGTCCGCGCGGGCTGGGACGCCGCGTCTGTCTCCGTTCACTCAGATTCGAGGATCAGATAGGGCTATCTGGGCCAGACCTTTCGCCGACGATCTACCGCTGACGAAATCGTCTTCGGCAAACCACCTTTGGGTCTCTGCTTTTACTCTTTACGGCTAACGCGAGTGGGCGTAGACTCGAACGGTGTCACAGCCACCGTCCTTTCTGAGGACAGGGTTACGAAGGGTGCTCGTGAGGATGGACTGGAAGGCCGAGCCGCAACAGCGAGACCACCATGAGAGCCGCATTCTAACGAAGCCCCTGTACTTCAAATGGGAAGAGTTCGACAGTGCTATGAGAACCGTTCTCACAGATTTTGAAAGGTAATATCACGATACCTTCATTACAGTCTTTATCAAAAAGGAGGCTCTGCTCAGACTTCACGCCACTGGCGCCTACCGACATCTACTGCCACCTGGGCGGTACATAATGTTCACATGGAGAGTGCATATCACACACAATTCAATCTTGTAAGAGTCATCGAGACGGCGAGGTAATCCTTCTGAAGTCTAAGGGGTACCAAGGTAGCGGTCCTTGCCACACCCCTTTCTCAGAGAATGGAAACCTCAGATGGCTCACACCCCCCTTCTCAGAAGACGGGGCGTTTCCCACTATCTCTCGCATCTGGACACCCTATACAACCGGCCACGTCGATCGCGACAGGCCTCTCCTCTTGTAGGTGGTGGCGAAGAACGTATTCATATCAGGGCAATGATGCGGAAAACCCTCAAACAACCTTGGTGACCTCACACGATCTCCATCGCAATATGTCAAAACCGACTTGCCCGTGCCTTCTCGATATCCATCTCTGGACTTGCAGCAGAGATATCATCATTAAGCATAAAAAGAACGACATCACAAACGGCCAGTGGCAAAACTGCTCGGATCAACGGCTTTACCGTTACTTGTAAACGATTAATCTTCAATAATTAGTACAGTTACCAGGGCACCGGTGGCAGTAGGATGGAAAACAAGTAGGGTGTCTGCAGCAGCCACCCGGAGGTGCCAGGAAACCAGGCAGCCGTCACAGCCCACACCCACATGGGCAGTTCATCATATCAGAGTTCGTCGATGCAGGATCAGATGGCCGTCACATAGTTTACCAAATACGTACACATGTCGTTCGTTACACCACCCACACCTCTGTCCTGGATGCCGATCCATTATATGATTCAAGAAAAAACACATGCTATGGGTTCCCCATCCACCCGAATGCCTTCGGGCGCGTAAAAATAATTCAACCCAGACTCCAGTACCAGTTGAACTCCAATTTTCCGTGTTTCGCTTCAAGCCGCGTCACAACGATGTCGAACGTTTGTTAGCCAGCCCTCAGTCCCACCGGCTTGCCTTCGTCGACGATCATCTGCTCGTCGACTCTCTTGCCGGTGTCGCCAAACTCCACCCGCTTCCACGTTGTAATACGGGCCTGGTTGGTGTCGACTTCGAACACGCGTATCCGGCGGTGGTAACCGCCATAGCCTCCGTACCCGCCAAAGCCCACGCCACCGGCGTAGCACATCCACAGCGCGGGCTTATTTGACGCGTCTTTTGAGAGCGAGCAGTAGTCGTTTGCGTGGTCGCTGCGTAGCACTGTTAGAGGAAGCTTCTGACTGGACACGGGAGACTTACTGGCCACAGCTGACCATGACGACACCCTGCTCAACCAGGGCGTCTCGGAAACCAGAGTTGAAGTTGGGTGCCGTAACGCCCTCCCTCCATTCGCCTTTGAGAGCAAGGTCTTGATCCCTGTACTCTGGCAGGGGAATGTGGATGAATGCCAGATCCATGTGTACGTGAGTATACTGCTTATGCGCCTGCTTAAGGCCAGAAGCCGTCTTCTTGAACCAGTCAATCTGGTTCTGGTGGATCCAATCATAACCATGATATTTCCTCTCGTCGGGCGAGTAGGCGTGAGAGTCCAGCATGTACAGCGTCAGCGCCGAATGGTCAGACTTGCCTCTAGCAAGGACCTCGACGTAGTAGTTGCCGACACCGTCAATTTCCTCCGGGCCGGCCCGTGCCAGGGAATACGGCAAGGATTCGAGAATTTGCATCTGAGCGCTGCGCGGGAGGTGAAGATCGTCGTGATTACCAAAAATGGAGACGTAGGGGATCTTCATCTTGATGAGGATTTGAGCGATTTTAAAAATGGCCTGTGTGGTCAGCTCAGCTCACGTCTAGACTGTCGCAATGTGTCACTTACCGACTGCGCGTCAGGCGCCGTTTCACCGTTGACTTGGTCTCCACTGAGTACGACCAGGTGAGGCTTCTCCTCGAAGAGAACCTTTTGCACGAAGTCGAGCGTTCTGGGGTCCGCTTCGCACACGCCGCCATTGTATCCCTCAGGCATAGCATCGCGACATTTCCCGACGCCAGTGCTGAGGTGGAGATCGGCAAGCTGGACTATCTTGAACTTGCCGTTCTCAGCAATGCGCGGGCGCGGTTTGACCGGCTCTTTCTGGCTACCTCTTCGAACCGTGAGTTGTGTCACGGGAACATCGTCGCTCAGAGGTAGAAGCAAGGGTGTGCCCACGATCTGCCAGCCATCGCGCGCTTCGACGGCATCGTCACCGAAGAGAACGTCGACGCCAGTGATGGCCTTCTTGGAGTCGCTGTCCTTCTGGTTGGAGGAGCGCTTCACCCACAAGCCGTACGGTCGGCTCTCCCATCTCTCGTCCTCCTCTCCCTTCTTCGTGGTTGTAGGGTCCAGTCTACCGACGGAGACGTCCATGACGACCTTATCTTCAGGGACGAGCTCCTCCTCTTTCTTGCGCGCAATGTGGACGTATGCGCTTTGTGTCCATGATTTGCCGAGATAGAGGTCCTTCTCGATGCGGTGCCACTTGTTGACGTCGAGCTTGCATGAGGAGAAGACGTTGATGTTGGAGCATTTCGTTATTGTTATATCGGTGACGATCAGGCCATGGTGATGCTGGGGCATGTAGTGGTGCATCGACTTGGGAAGGACTCGGAAATTGCGGTCGAGGAAGAAGACGGCGAGGAACGTCAACAGCGTCACAGCCGTGAGCTGGATTATTGTGCGCACCTAGGGGCGAGTCATCAGCGCGCGCATCGCGGGAGCAGGTCTGGTGCCACTTACTATACGGCGCGTCATGTTGGGCAACAGTGTGATTTGTCGCAAAGCAGTTGGAGGGCCCGTGGCGAGTCTCGGTGGCGGCGTGACCCAGGGAAATGCGGGATCGTGAGGGAACGGAACGGGGACGGGAGTAGGAACACGAACACGAGTGGTAATCGGCTCCGGCGAGCCTAATTCAAGCTAATGTCTAGGCCATGTCATGGCCCGCGGAACCGGTATACAAAAAGTAGGGCTTGGTGATGGGGCGGGAGAGCTTGATCTCAGCTCATGGACAACACACAGCTTGACAAGGCGACAGGGGGCAGAAAAGGAGCAAAAAAGGCACGACGATTCATCGACTCGGTCGATTAAGGTCCAATCAGTGGAGCAGCCCTCCAGAAATCCGGGGTAGCAGCACTTTCAGAGGCAGGAGGCAGGCAGGGCTGGGTCGGGTACCTTAAGTGAACCAACCGTTTGCGCCCTGTGGACCCGGGCACGGACCGCCGATTAAGTTGGTGAGTTTTGATTGGCTAAAAATACTTGGAAAAGCGGGAAGGGGGGAAGGAGCATTTTCACGGAATGGCAGGAAGGAAAGAGCCAGTTGTTGCGCCGTTCGCACGTGCCTTTTCTATGAACAATTCTATGCGTTCTGGCCTGACGCATTAATCATCATCGCTCGAGTCTTTTACAAAGTATTTCCTGCGTATGCACGATGTTCACTAAGTACACGGGCCAGACGACGTCGATAGTAACATCGACTCGTCCAGGACGTCCTTGGAGACAGCTTCCATGTCGGTGGATCTGCCGTTCCATCTTTACTATCACGCAACGTACCTACGTAAGCTCGAGACGTGGTCTGAAGACAATAGGCGGACTCCTGCATTGCACATCAGGCAAGAACTCTTGCCCCGTTGACGCAGTCGACACATGATCGACGCGCGTCAACGTCGAATTGAGTTTTGATCGCAGCCATGGTCCCAGTTAACGCCAGCCTCAAGAGCAGAGAACGAGATGAAGTAGCAGCCATGATGTCGCTTTCTTAACGGATGACAGAAGCATAGACGAGTCAATTAGGTTGAAGATCAACTGCGGCTCTGTTTGTACAACGTCACCCGAGTTCCGATGGACGTGAGCTTGAGTCAGTTTCAACGCGGAGCAAGGCAAGCTTCAGCCGTGACAGCTGGACCCTGGACTCGGTCACACGAGGACAATAACGATGGTATATTGCCGCGGAGGATATAATACTTAGCTGTTGAAGAACTTTTCTTCGGTAAACCTCACTCAGTCCACCATGTTGTATTTGAGCTCTCATCGATCTGGCGATGAAGACCTGTCAAAACATCCGTGCTGCCGTTTGATGTTAAAACAAAACAAATGAGACAAACATCGAGAACCAAGACAACTGTGGAGGAAACACGTTGATAATCCTTTGTCTTGTTTCTTCAACGGAAAACAACAGCTCGTACACACAAAGACTCTTCATCGCCATTGTCTTTCCCAACGTCAAATGCCATCACCAGTTGCAAGCAGCAAGCAGCAACTGCCATTTCGGCTCATGCAGGAACAGTGGCCCGTGCTCCTGCAATCATTCCTCGCTTAGCTTCGCGCGCAGTAGGTACGTACCTCCACCAGCTCTGGCAGCAAGAGGAAGGAGCTGTCATGTCGCCTGCCGTCTGTCGCTTGTCGTCCCGCGAACCAAAGCAGCAACGACGCGCCTCAAAAATCGTCATAACCCCCGACGATCATCAACGACGCCCTCCCTCCACCATTTCCACTTCTTCTCGTCATCAATCTCTTCCCATCTCCGCTTGCGCGTTCCTCCAGACGTTTGCGCAATCCATCAATTAATCAATTTTACATTATTCGCTACATCCCAGCCCCCTGAGTCGCAAACATGGCCACCGACTACAGCTCATTGAAGGTTCCTGAGCTGAAGAAGCTTCTCCAGGAGAGAAGTCTTCCCGCCACCGGCAATAAGCTTGACCTGGTCAACCGCCTGAAGGAGAACGACAAGGAGGCCGCGCCTGGTACGTTGATGGAATGAATGCGATCGCGACGACCAACGCTAACTTTTGTCGCAGCCGCCGCAGAAGAGGACGAGATCGATTATAGCGACGACGAGCCCGCTCCTGCCAAGGCCAGCGACGCTCCCAAGCCCGTCGCCGAGCCTGTACCGGCCGTCGCCGAACCTTCTCCCGCCCCAGCTGCCGCCGCTGAGCCCGCCGCGCCTGCGCCTGCTGAGGCTGCCCCCGAGGCCGCGCCTGCCGCGACGGCCGAGGAGACCACCACCGAAGAGAAGAAGCCCGAGGAGGAGGCCGCGCCCAAGGAGAACTATGCGCTCAACCTCGGCGCCACCGACGCCTCAGAAGAAGCCAAAAAACGCGCCGAGCGTGCCAAGCGCTTCGGTATTGTCGAGGAGGACGAAGAGGCCAAGAAGAAGGCGGAGCGCGCGAAGCGTTTCGGCGAAGACGACAAAGCTAACACCTCGGCAATTGACTCCGCTCTCCCCGAAAGACGTCCCAAGCGCGGACGCCCTGAACGTAACGACGAGCAGCAGGGCCGTGACGCCAAGCGCCAGAGCACCGACGGCCGTGGGCCCCGCGGCAGAGGTAACAGGAACAACCGCCAGGGCGGTGGTCGTCAAGGTGGTGGTGGTGGTGGTGGTGGCCGCGGCGGCGGTGGCGGCGAGAGACGCAGTGCTGCTGTCGACCCTGCCGAAAAGGCGAGGATGGAAGCCAGAGCGAAGCGTTTCGCTGCTTAGTTGCGCTAAGCGAAGGACTCGTGATGGCGAAGGGGGTCTGTATACTATGTCCGGGGGAGCTGGAAGGCGTTATGGTCTACGACGATGAAGATGGGGACGCAAACGCAAAACTCGAAGAATGACAGGTCCCAGTCTACAGACAGGACAGTGGGAGACAACGCGCGTCTTCTCAACCAGATATTTTCACAGTAATGGAATAGAACCAAAAGTTTTTTTGTATCGCGACAAGAGTCTTTCAATCATCTCGACAGCGAAGCGATGACTGAATCACTGGATTGATGTTTATATAGCCGGTCCCCATGCTAACAGCCGGAGGCATCACGATGTCACCGTTCCGCCTATCTATCTGATTGAAGTCTGGTTTCTTATTCTGCCTAGATCCAGGGTCAGTACCTCATGGGATGTGATGATGAGTACCTAGGAACGGAGAGGAAGACAGAGCTAGCTCAGAAGGCAAAAGCACTGCAGCGCGCTCACAATCCGGGACTTACTTATTGGCCATCGACCGGCAGTGCGGCCGCTTTCACGGTGGCTGCTTCACACGTGCGAAGAAGATCCTGAGCAGGAAAATGAAGAGAGTAGTGACGATGGACGTTTTTCAAAGCTCTACACCCTAGATCGACTCTTCTGAGTGTGAACGCAGCTCGAATAAAACCCGACCCCGCCACTCCGTCCGTCGCCGTCGTTGCTTGATGGGTATCGCTGTTTAGCATATTCGTAAAGTTCTCTGAGTCTCTGTCCTCCGTCATGCTTCCGGTTCTTGAAGTATCTAATCGTAAGCCTGTGTGAGGCAATCTCACATACAGGACACCATGTCTTGGGAAAATTAAATACTGTTTCAACAAGACTTTTCTGCCAACTCACGTAGGCTTTTAATATCTATTTTAGCATGATCTCAGTCTATTCATCCGCGGTAGATAAGGTGAATCATAGCAACGAGGGGTGTTGCCAGCAAGCAGTGTAACAGAATTTCGTCGCCAGACATATATAAAAGCCGCGATGGCCAGCTGTTTTGGGCGTAACCGGCGATATGGTCGTTTGCGGCAACGCGCATGGCCGAGAATATGATTGGACTCCGGTAGAGTCAGTCTATCACCGGAGTACACCGGATTCTTGGGCCAGCCTACATGATTTTCCTCTTCACTTCCATCGTGTCTCGCCTGTCTTCACTTATTCTCCGCTGAATATCTCATGAGCTACTCATTGTCTGACGGAGGCAATCGTCTGGATAGAGAATCTGAGCCGTGATCAGCTTTAGTCGACACGGAACAGGGTCCAAACTGGTCGCATCGCACCGGTGGCGCGAAACTCCCTACCATCGAGGATTTGTGCCGACGACATACACGCGGTGCCTTAGACGGAAACTTCTGAAGTCCATCGCACTTATATACTGCATATGACTCCAGGGTTGGGAAGGCAGTTCGACATCTCCTGGTTCGGTATGAAGACTGCGTTCCTCGGCTTGCTGAAAGGAGACGATGCGTAGAGTAGCTGGGACTCCGGGTCTTCGTTCGACATTGGGTTCACACAGAGTAAATACACGAAATAAGTATAAAAGTTAAAAGTTGGCCGACTTTCTGATCATCGCAGGCCGAAAACGGCACTAAGCACGTCGACGGTTGTCTTCGCTAAGTTTCCATTCAGTCCGTCCTCATCCCCCCGACTCTCACTCGGTTGAGATACCCAGTCTTCGACCGGCAGATGAAAAGCATACCGCACAATTCCCCTCTCTTCGTCCGTCCTCATTGCCACTTGGCAGGTATTCTCCTCTGGTATACCGGTCTCAATTGGCTGGCTGCATGGTTTGACATACAACGGCATATAACCTTGCACCAAGCCATGCACCCTATCGCCGGCCCTCAAGCATGTGCCACTCTGCACATCCTAACAAAAGGGGTTTTTGTCACGATATCGAGGTGGAAGCGGGACTGGAGAGCCTGATCTTCATGATCACAATTGAGAGCCTCTCTTATAGCTGAGTGCGAGACCTCCAGTTGCAAGCAAGATGTCTAAAGCACCGCGGAAAGACCTTCAATGAGATCCACACGGCCCTCGAACAACTCTTGGTCTAGAATGGCTCACTTAGGGCCACCGCAAGGCAACGTGGCGTACATAGTTCAATGCCCCGGACGACTATATATTGAACTTCATCGAGAACCCATCCATCCATCCGGCAAGCTGCTGGGTTCTTTGCATATCCCAGACTCAGACATTCGGATCTATGAGTTGATAGCCGCATTCTTACGGGCTTGGACAAGTGGTCCGAGGTCGGATAGTTTGGCAGTTGGCCTTTTCAAGACGCCTTGGAAACTTAGATGTCTCTACTCGGCGTCCGGATTGTCTTTGGCCTATTCTCAAAGTTGTATCACTGGAAGGGTTGAGATCTGGGCTTGTCGTCTTGTTTGAAGTTCGTTATGATCACACTAGGGACTGATGTGCTGAGAACTCTAGGCGACCCACCATAGTGGATCAATACACTAGAGGCCACATTGACGATGGCGCCTGAACTCCGGGTGGATAAGGCCCTGAGCGTTATTTAAATACGACTGCCATCGAAAGTTCAACCCCATCTGACTCCATTGCTACAAGGGCAATGACGGTTTGCGGTGGCTTCCTCTATAAAGCTTGGGGAGTGATTGCTGGGCTTTCTGGTACTCGCAAGCATCGCACGCTTCCCTCTCAGCAGGCGGATATGACGTGACGCCATCCCCATGTGACTGATTCACCGATTTGGCTACATGTTTGATATTCGACCCTCATATGCAGCAGCGCCGTCTACTTGTATTGGACTGCCAGAGCATGCGACATCGCGTCGATGAGAATACACGAACAACAGCCAGGACGCCGGAGAGAGACGCCTGTTCCGGTCCACCTTCAACACCAAAACCCATATGGAGGTCATGAAGGTGAATAGTCACAAGTTGGGAAAGTGAGAGGCCCTCTTCCACAGGTTACTCTCTTATAGGAGATCTGCAGCAATAGTTACAGCAACATTTGTTGGGAGAGAATCGGTGACAAAACCCTTAATGATCCGTGATTTATACACACCATCTCCCGTGGTCCGATACCAATATCACGAAACCTATTTAATTGCCCGAGCATACAAATCATTCTTTGTCAACCAGATGTATTGTACCTCGTGAATGAATGACACCTTGGTTTCCCAAGTAGACTTCGATCCGTCGCGAAGTCTTATTTCATGAAGAACCGTTCCCTAAGCATGGAAGCACAGCAGAGTAGGCGTCCAAACCAGAACCCATCCCGCCATCCTCCCCCATCATCTCCGTCAGACGCCATCTCTCGCGGTGTGTTCATCCCCGGATACCAGGTTACATCTCACAGCAGAACTTCCGAATCCACGGCGAAACCACGAACAACCGAACAAATGCAGAAAAGATCCGCTACTTTCCGGAGACCAGGAAAAAATCAGACCCGGCAAGTTCTTCTACCAAGATGGCCAGAAGGCAAGGCTTGCTGATTCGACTCAAAGCATGCAGAACATACCCCTTAAGTACCACCTCAACCGCCGAGAAAATGGTCCGAGATTGAACGCCGAACCGCTAATCACGCACTGGAGTATAAAAGGGGCACGCAACGGCCATATTCGCCGGGGGTTGTACGAGCGGCATATAGTTGCGCTAGCTGACTCTTTGGAGCAGACGTGTAAGAGACCCGCAACGAATTCGTACCGTATCCTGACCCGGTCGAAGTGGAGGAGGGAGAGGACCAATATACCGATACTGAATACGACGACGGTGAGGGCGAAGAACAGTGATGGACGATGCCGGCATGGCATGGCATCACAGAGTCAGGATTTGATTTACGGCCCGAGGAATCGTTGCCAGCACAAAAGTTGCCTTCGATGTGTGGTGTACCTCACATATCATCAGGTAGTGCCAAACAGCAAATTCCCTCTACAGACCAAAGTCACGCTGTGTCAGCTTAATGCCTAGAATATATAGGCCATTCAATATACTTGTGTCGAATCGTCACGCAAATCCCATTCTCAGCACGCTGCAACATACCTCCTCCTCCTCCTACCTCAAAACCTTTCCCTGCCAGTCCTCATCAACCAACCTCAACCCCCTCATCCCGCCGCCGACCCAACAGTCCGGACAACCCACACCACATCCGCCGACCTCTCCAGACCCCACCCTCGAGAACCAGACCAGACCAACACCAGCCCACGTCAGCCTTCCTTAGACTCTATCCCGCGGGTCCAGTAAACATGTCAAAAAAGGGGGGTCTTGCAGGCTGGCGGGGGGTCACTCCTTCACGACCGGATCCTCGAATCCAAAAGAAACCAAGGAACGAACTTCTGTCCGGAGTCCATAAAGGAAGGACTTCGCTGCCCAGTCAGCTCCGACAAACAAGCCCACGCCGCAAAGATGCATGGGAGGAGAGTCCTATAGGGATCCGTAGGCGGCGTTTCGTTCCAACGGTATCAGAAGAACGGCCAATGGGTAAAGTCGCGCCTATTCGCTTCGTCCAACACGAGGACTCCATGGGAGGTGGTCGAAACGCAAGCCGGAAGCGCAAAGTCATCACCAACTGAGTCTCTCAGCTCCGGTTCAACCTCTCATCAGTACGCCCAGCGAACGTGCGCAAAGGGTAAGGGGAGATGGAGGAATAACCACAGCTCCCCTAACGAAACGCCTTACCCACGAACAAGGCGTCGATAAGTAGAAAGCGATGCCAACGCATCAGCTCGATGCCAGCTGAGAACCAGCCTTCCCCTCAGCTCCCGCGAGACCCAAGCATCTTAGCTCTGAGCCGGCCTCCTTAAGCGTCCTCGCCATCCCGCTTCAGCGCGCTAATCCCGCTTCTGCGGAAAATAAAAAAACGCCAGCAATGGGCACGGGCGGTCAAAAGTCTAGTTCCTTCGTCTGTGCGGAATCGCACGAGAAGATAGTGAAAACTCTGCCCTCCAACCGCCCGGATGGGTGTGAAGAAGAGCATCCATCTGCGTGCCCTCGCACCTCGACGTCGTCACGTTACTC